CATCTGGGTTTTCTCGTTTGAAAACCCATAAAAATCAGAAGATGTAATGTAAAATGTACAAGAATCGAGAACAAATCTCTACTTTGGAGTACCTCCAATGTACTTAAATTTACTGCCTTTACTTTTAGTATTAATTTAACTGTGGCTACCGACCTAAATCTGTAGGTACTTATAATGTACCATAATTTACCTTTCATCAGGGTATTTATGTACAAAGTTCACCCATTTAGGTTTTATGGGTTTTCTCCTATTACACTAATTTGATACTCAATGCAAAATGAAATTGTGTAAATAGTTTCTTTTCGTTATATAAAGAGGGCATCTTATTCCTGGCACTTTTTTTAATTTAATTTAATTAATTATTTTATTAATATTAATAAGGCATAGGTAAAGGGGATATGGAACCATCTTATATATTTCATAATATTCAACCCCTAAAATCGCGAAAAATTTAAATCCGTAACGGGCTCCATTTACACTGTTAAACTAGAAGAAACAAATAAATAATTAGTCAATGTTAAAACATAATTGAATTTAGAAAGATTCTATTATTTATTTATTTAAATATTTTAGTTTTATTAAAATCGCTGGATTTTTGTTTAGTACAAAGTAGTTTCTCTTCATTTTTGTAGAAAAATTTATACATTAAGTTCGCAAAGCTTTGAGCCGGTTTTTTTTGCAATGTTTAATCCATATACTCTAACTGTTTCTAAGAAGGTATAATGAAAAGTCAATTGGGGTACATTAAAAGAGGTGCAAATGTTGTTGGAATGAATATCGTGCCACTAGTGGCAGAAATTGAGAATAATTAGTTTCATTTGCTATAGCTTACCAGACAATAGTAAATTACTTTATTTGTTTCAGGTCGCTCCTACCAAGGGATAAACGAGGAGATTATATGGGTCAGCATCGGAATGGGAATAACAATTGCCGTGCTCATTACAATCGCGCTGTGTTATATTATGAGGGAAAAATGTATACAGAGACGAGAGTATTACATTTCGGCATGAGTGGTACCGCTGTAAACTCCCCCCAAAGTATTTTATAAATGTTAAGTAAATGAGTTAAATTTGAATACTTTGTAGATTATAACCTTAAGTTCAACGTAATTGCTTTTGTATAACGAAACGCAGCCAAGCATGACCCTTATAACACAGGATATAAATTGCGTTTTATATCGCATAGCGAAAGACTGTCATTGGCTGTTTATCCATAAACTCAAACTTCTTTCAGTATTAACTTAAAGTGCACCCTAATTAAAATCTGACTGACGATAAAACGTCACCGTATCTAGTCAGGGTAGAATAATCGTAGCGTTAATCTCGTCTTCTCATTCAAACTACCGCTTCCATCGGAGACACCAATATTTCCTCATTGGAAGATTAACGCAGATCTTACATAGGGCCTAGTCGCAACGTATTCCTTCTTTATGTGGACCAAAATAGCACGGTAAATTACACTTAACTGGCACAGTCAGTAGAATTAAGCGAGTCAATTTTTCCGATTATGTATGTGTTCTTCTAGTGATAGATGTCTATGTGCCAAATTATGCCTCTTGGTTTATCGGCCGGGATAAGAAAGTTTGTGCTGACCGGTACTCTATTAAAGGTTAACATTGTTTCTATATGTACCTACACAAAATAGATACGTACAATGTACTTTAACTTAAGTTGGTTTTCGCCGGTTACAGCGAAAGCCCTATTAAAGGACGTTAAAAGTCCACGTTTCTTTTTTAAATTCCAATTGTAAGTTTTATACAAAAAGACAAGCAGATTAGATAGTGCAGCCTTGTTTCAGTTTCTAGTGACAATAAGAAAAACTAGTCCGCCATAGTATTTCTTGAAAGTTGCATTACAGGTGAAAGCTGCATTAGTATAATAAGTAAACTAAAATTGTTAAAAAATAAAAGTAAACATTTATAAAGAAGATGTAATTATAAAATATACCTTATGGATTTGATGTCCTTTTTTGTCCTTAAAAGACGTCCTACCAGTGCCTCAAATCGTTTGCACAACAAATAATTCTACATTGAAGATGTTATTTTTTCTCCTTTTGAAATCTAAATTAGAAGTGTAAGCCCATTTACGATTATCAGATTACTGACTTGGTGGAGAGTGGAGAGAAATTTTTATGTATAAAGAGCAGACAACCCTTATACCTTTTAAAACCTATGTATGCCATATCTGTTCCCAAACTTAGTGATTTATATACACATTCAATAGTAATTATTCAGTTATAGGTTCGAAGTATATAAATCAAATCCCTATAGAGTTATCCAGACGCGTTTGAGGGGGATAGATTAATTGCACTTTCTACCACTAAATGTGACCGCCCTCAGGAGCTTATAAAGACATATAACACGTCCCCATATTAGTTCACAGGTGGTCCTAATGGGGTAGGTAAATGACATTCGAACTTACCTAGTCCCAGAAACGGACGTAGTGCGGAGGACCTGAAATTTAACGAAAATTGTTTGATTTCTGCCGTATCTCAGATAATAGAGTACGATATTTGCCATTGACATAGGAGAAGGACAGGATTGCCTAAGATATTGCTGTGTAAACAATGTCAGGTTGGGACGTTAAGGTCTAGATCTGGGCATTTAAAGTAAATGAGCATTTAATTAATATAATCAATTGGGCATTACTCATTTAATCAATTTCGTGGGATTATTTACGAATAAACATAGTGCGATTTTGCGTATCTGTCTTATTGATTTATTTCATTGTAAAGGAAAGACTATTTCTTAGAATGGTTCAGGTTAAGAAAAAGTTCTGCCCCAATTTCTTTTACCAATTTCTTATGCCACTGCATTTGTGACCACTCCGACGTGATTTATTAGGTGTTACGTTTATTTTAGAAGAGATTAATGTAATTGTCTAGAGATAAGGTAGCTTTTTAATCGTAAAAAATTGTTGTTTTCGTAGCAAATGTTATAGTTTATGATTCAGAGTAAAGTGTGACTTACGACGGTGTTTGCTGAAGTTCGAGGTCCGTTAAAGCGGTTTTTTACCATTATTGGAAGCCGAGGTGCTGTTCCCCTAAGGAGCTTTTCGTTATGTTCCGAGACCAAGTTTGATTTTGTTTAGAATTTAAGAGGACACGCGTGTCAACGTTTGAGTGGTGGCTAAGCTTAGTTGCCTTTATGCAAATTCGTCGATTGTGTCGAAAAGAATTCAGTACGTGCTGGCTGTAGCAGTTCTTCGTTCGTGTATTGTTGTGCGTAGCCAGATCAACTTCTATACAACCTGCTTGGGGAATTGGACTTAGACATTTTAATAGGCTTGAATGAGGAGGCTAAGTCGCTCTTTAACCGTGAGGGTAATTAAAGTGACCACTTTAACCGTAAGGATAGATAAAGTGAAACAGTGAATCACGTTTGTGCATTCTAATGACATCTGTCATTCTTATTTCAAATGGGCCACGAAGCACGATATAAAATGACGTTCAGAATATATGACACTGCTGTTTCTATGGAAACGACCGCGATGGCAGAAAATAAACTTGCTATTTTTGACGTCCAAATTAATTTCAGAATTGCCAGAAGCTTTAAAATGATTTGGCTTCTGCTATAAAATAAAGTTTTGTAGTATACACGACGTATAGGGAAACTAACCATCTCGTGGCTGAGCGACTCGTGAATTAACATCTTTCACTCAATGGATTTATGGACTTATATACTATTATCCGCGCCCAAAGTTCATTTCAAGTGCTTACAAAATTTGATAAAAGACCTTTTTGGCATTTAAGAAAAGTATTGGAGGTGTGTAAGAAATTTGAAAATGTGTAGAAAATGTTTGAAACTTTAAAAAAATTGCAAAAATTATGATAAAATAATTGTGTAGCAAATATGAAATATTTTAGACATGATTCAAAAATGTTGAAGAAGCGTAGGAATTAAAATGTTTCTAGAATTCTTATAAAAATTTTGGAAATGTTTCAAAAATAAGTAGAACATACATTTTAGGGAGTTGTATAAATTATATTTTCGAAAGTGTTTAGAAAAATTGAGAAATATTACCGAAATGATGGAAATGTGGGGACGAAATGCGTCTCAAATTTTGCAAAAGTCTACGAAAATTTATAAGTGATTCAAAAATATTATGTAACTGTATCAAAAGTGTGTAGCAATTTTAGAAATATTTAAGACATTTTGGAATTACTACCGAGATTATTCAAAATGTATATGTATTTATAGAAATGTTTCAGAAAAGTGAGCGAAAATTAAAAAAAAATGGAAATGCTTTAGAAATGTGTAGAAATTGTGTTGCTGGAAACATTAAAAAAAAAGTTCAGAAGTAAAGGAAATTGGGGAAAATGTTTCACAAACGTGTTTTCCATCTCAAGCGGTCCATTGCGCACTCTTCAGTGATCATTCCTAGAAATTCTTCTCTTAGATTTCCCACAAGTGTCATCTAGAAACTTTAATTGAAGCACCTTTTAATTTTTTATGGGCAACTCACAACCATATCAGCTATACTTTTCTAACCCAAACATTGAAAAATGGTTGTTTGGTCAGCTTTTCACACAGAAAGTGGTTCATCAGTATATTCGCTAAAGTAATCCTCTTATGAGAGATATCCGTTTAGGTTTAGGGCCATCCTTTGAAACATCTTATTACTTTAGGAATCGGAGTGAACCTTATCCTTAGTAGAAATCTTGTTACTAACGTAAATTACGCTAGACACTTTGAAAAACTTTTCAGGAATTTTGGATATCCAGCGAAACATTTGTATGCACTCTTGAGGGTATTAGATTTCGCCTTGAAACTATTCTCATCGCGAATGTTAAAGTCGTGGTTGTTTCAGACTCTTTTAAAGAACTTTGTGTGCTTTTCAGAATGCAAATACAATTGAAATAGAGCCATTCAAACCGCACTTGGACGAATTCGCCACAGCAAAGCGAGAAAACTTTTCGTTAGCTCCAAGGCATTGAGTAATGTAAAGCTCGAGAGATCTAAAACCTTACCACTTCATTAAGCTTCCTCTACTAATTAAACAATTAATGTTTTATTTTGTATATAGATGTAATATAATATAATATCCCATTTAAGATTTTCCGTGCGGGAAATTTAAATAAATAATACCTGTATAAATACAAATACAGATTTCTGGTAAGGTAGGAAACTACGAAGCAGTTTTGAACTTATTCATATGAAGGTCGTAAATCATACGTGCCATCGCGCAGTCTTCCGACCCCATTCCTGTAACAAAGATTTAAAGTTTTGGTATGCCAATTACATATATGAAAAACTCATCAGGAAACGAACTTTGGATCTAAGGATGTTTGCTTATAGATTTTTTATAATTTTGATTGAGCTAACAATAAAAATTGAAGGTCTTTTGTCCATAAAACAAGTATGAACATCAAGGGTGACCAGTGCACTCGGCAGTTTTTAATAAATCCACGGTCCGTGTAGACAAAAGGCTTTGGAAACATCACATCGATCCTGTACAAACGGGTATCCCAAAGTTTTGACAAAATGTTACCCACCAAGACTTTGAAAAATCGTTATTTCCGTGGACTCGGGAGGAACGGCTGATTTGGTAATTAAATCTCCAATCTGCGCCTTAAACTGTATTCCATGGGCCTGAAGATGCTGCAGTCGGTGCTTTACGTTCTCAATGCTATCCACGTAAACATGTCCCGCTTTATATGTGGGTATGTCCAGTTCCGTTCCTGTGCTACTTACACCAATGGCTACAATCCAATTACCACTTTATTGGAAGATTTTGGGGAATTAATACCATTAATGTGCGCTCCTGGTTTTACCCATTTCAGTTGGACGATGACGTCGTCGCCTGGAGTCGCCGTCACGATAACATCTGCATTCTTGAGACACTCCTCCACTGTTTCGGCTGCTAGGAAAATTGGTTGGCTAAGATTGTGATTTAATGCTTCAACCAATTTCTGCGCTCTACTCGGAGTTCGATTCCAAATACGAACCTAGAAGTGTAACGTTTGATAGTGTCTGCATTAGAGGGACATACCTGCTCGTAATTAAAAAAGTGCTGGAAAGCTACGGCATGTGCACGTCCCTCGGCACCAGCTCCACAAATTGCGAGAATCTTTTGGGGCCGTGCTCCTATGAGGTGCTTTGTCGCAACCACGGAGGCAGCAGCCGTTCTCCACTCGGTGATGTCGTTCCCAAAAATCATCTAAAACCGACCAGATGTTCACCGCACAACAATCTCATCACCTACCGCCTTTATCTCCCCCGAATTTTCATTCATCAAAGCAATATGCGTGAACATGGGCCTGTCGTTGCTCGGAAATATCGTAAAGAATTTGTACGCGATTCCTCCGTACTTCTCGTGGTTTAAGTAGCCCGGTAGGATAATCATAATATTTTCGGTTTGTCCCAAGCTCATCCACTGCGACGTTTGCGACACCCATCCTCTTGTCACTCCCTCAAGAGCACACTCAACCGCTTTGAACGTGTGGTCCCATTTTAGGAGGCCACGAACGTCTTCTTCCGAAATTTGTACCAGCGATGGCATTTTTATTACTGTTAGTGGGCGCTCAAAGGTAGTTACTGCACAAGAATGAGTAGGTGGATGTTTGCGTGTTAATTCTATTTGAACGGTAGAGGATAAGGTATCACTGGCCTTGTGGTTTAGTTTCTCATACGTTCCCAAAGAGTGTCAAGTGTGAAGGATTACGACTTGTTTCTAACTATAAGTACTGCGGTTTTTTGTAACCTTAACCGCTGTGAGATAAGTGCACTTATCCATCGTCAAGGATTTGGGTTATAACGAAATCTTTTCAAAAATACTGTTAACACTCATTAATAAAAAGTGGTCAATGTTCGTCATGTGTCCTGGATAATTACAATTTTTCGTCTAAGCTAATTTAAAGGTAACGGAGCATACCGTAGGTACCTCTGAAGCTAGAAAAAGAGCAACTCATTTTTAGTAGGGGTGTTAAATGAGGTCATAATTGCGACACAAGTAAAATATTTTCTCTTAATAATATGGTGCTGACAGAACGTGCTGCTTTAGATGAAAACATAATTTAATAATTGGGGCGTTAAAAATTTTTACTATGTGCTCCTCTAATAACAGATTGCGTGACAAATGCCTGGGGTTTTTTCCTTTGAAGAAATGATTACAGAAATATTTAGAGATTCTTTCAACAAAAAAAAAATGTCTTAATTCGATTATTCCATTGTCAACAATAAGGTAAGTGGCTCAAAAATTTGAAACATTAGTGAGAAGTTTTCCTTGCTTCCAAAAACTGGAAAACTTGGAATCGCGGTTCCTTTCCATCTCTGAACTGTTCTATCGACCTACGTAAGAAGAAACGTGTAGGTAGATCGTATAAGGGAAGGTTATACATTTGCGTTGAACTTCGGTATTCAAGAAATTCGCGCAAAATCGGTTGCATGTAAATGAAACGAAAAAGAAATTAGTTGGGTCCCAAAAGATCAATTTTAATGCGCAAAAAAAAATGAATAACAAAATATGCCATTCCCAAAAAAAATGTGAAAATGGAACTTCTTTATTTAATTACGAAGCTACCTGTCGTCCTAAAAATCGGGGATCAATCTTGAAATCAAAATTATTTAAGCGCGCTTCTAATGGCCCTAGGCCCAATCTAATCAGACGAACTTTGCTGCAACACATTTAATTACAGTTAATTATACTCACTTAATTGGCAGAATTAAAATTTTTAAATTCGGTAGCCCAGTAATGCCCATTGTTAAATGGAATTTCGGGACAATCGCATGTGGTCTGTGACAAAGAACAGCGTGCAGTTTTAATGCCTGTACTGCCCTTCTAAGTTAACTTAAGGCGAAGAGAACAAAATGTACATCTAAAGCAAAAAATACCTCAATTTTTTCCCAATTACTTTTAAGTAGTCAAAGATTTTATTCAGCTGAACCTTCGAAGGCGCACTCTACAAACTCAGTTTGCTGTTGGTAAAAGGTCCTCTAAGTTATATCATTAGATTCTTAATTGCGCCATTAAATTTACATTTAAGGCTAACGTACCTCAAACACAAGATATCAGATTATTGTTCATTAGTTGTCTCTTAAATAGTCCTTCTTAATTAGTGAAACTCTTAAGGGTGTGTCCTGCAAAATAAGACTGCCTTTGGTAAGGAATGCTTTAAATTTTAAATAAAGAAATTAAATTCTTAATTGGAGCATTAAGTTTACAATTAATGTCGCCTAGATAGTTAAATTTGCAGTTTTTCTTCTGTCAACAATTCCTAATTTATTGAAGCATTCAATTTGCAATTAATTGTCACCCGGATAACTAAACGTGCAATTTTTCTTCTGTAAACTTTTGTGGGTATAACGTTATTCTAAACTACGTTAAGGCCAACAGAGCACATAACCACAAAAATAACAGTATATTTTTGATTAATTGCCACTATTCAATTCGAGGGTAGCTTCTTCAAAGTCAATTTGCTTTTGGTCTAAATTTCAAATGCAGGATGCATTAAATTCCTAATTGAGCAGACCGCAGCATTCAACGTTGGAAATTTGAGTTTCCTACATCTACCACCGTTTTTCTAAGGATACACACTTCTTCCTGCACGTTCGTCAAGATCAGTAGGTAGTTGCCAAGGATGCTATGCAACGATAGTTGCTTTGTTAAAAGTAGACTTAACATATATCCAAGGTTGAGTTAGAAAGAAGAATCCGTTCATCCATTGATGTTGAGGGATTAATGACTTAGTGTAACTTCAGTTCTTCCAAAATAGTTGGAGAATTCCTTTCCATCGTGGACACAGTAGCGTAGATTGTTGGTCTCCACTAGGGTTCCGTTGGTGTCATATATCAAAAGTGGGGAAGAAAGTAAACTACAAAACTGTCTTACATTTTATGATACTGTCACCGATGTTTAACAAAATTGATGAACTTCCTACATAATTCAAATCCAACAAAGCACGCGGCATTAGCCGGAAATGCCCTCAGCAGGACAGGGATAAATCCCCTATACAATGCGGACACGCCTTCCGTTTTGATGAGATGCGTGAACACCTCTCTGATCCCATTTTTGTATGTACCTTCAGGAGCTGTTTGCAGTCGACTTTTCACAACGTCGGCGGGCATCCCAATGACCCAATTCGCAATTCCAGCAGCGCCACCGGCAAGCATTGTTTCCGGTACGGTAATTTCCCGCGTGCCGTTAGCCGTGAGGATGTTTCGCAAGGTCTCGTAGGTCATAAAGTACATTCCACTAGCAGGCACGTCTCTCATCATCGTCGCGAGGGAACCGAGGTAAATGCTTCTAATTCCGCCTGTTTTATACAACTTTATCACGCAATCCAAGGGGCCGTCGTACATTTTTTTACTGGAACCCCCCTGTATTTGCAGAAGCGATTTGATCCGCTCGCCTGGGGACATAATGCTCGTGGTAAATATACCGGAAAACGCGCCAGCGCAAAAGTACTGCCACCATATGAGTTGCGAGCCGTCTTTTGGACCGAAAAGCTTCTTGCCGACGCCGTAGCCGAAAAAGGATATCGAAAATATGGGAGCTACTCCCACAAGCGGGGCAACCATTCCTTTGTACAGGCCTTTTGGTCCTTCGGCCTTTACGGTTTTCTTGATGCAGTCCCACGTGCCTGTGTATAAAGGTTTTTCGCCGGGTTTCGGAGTTGGCATTGTTTGCAGGCGAACTTTGATTGTGTCGAGGGGATGGCCGACGAGCACCGTACAAATTCCGCCAAATCCGCCGCATATGAAGTATTCAATTGGGTTTGTGTCTGCCATTGTTAAGCAAAACTGAATTTTCAAAGTGACATTGTATGAACTGTCAGCGTTTGTCAAACCAGTTTTCGTGTGGACACCAAATTCATTTGGAATCGTCTTGCTTGTGACTTTTGCATTAGGTCATCATCAAGTTCGCTCTTATCCGAGGAGCCGTGCTTGATGAAATGTCGAAGACGTTGATACTCAACACACAATTTCTTCTTCAGGCGCTGAACCCGTGGCTTTTCGATTTCGGCGAGAGTCTGAGTTGTTGATGGGGATAAGTGGACGGTGATCCATTATCAATTGAAACGGTTGTCCAAGCAGAAACAGAACACGTTTGAATTCCCCAAACTACCTGCGTTTCTATTTCCCTTGCACTGTAGAATCCATAATTTTAAACAGTTCCAAGATTGGGCTACTAGTTCAAAAGTTACAGCCCTTTGAATTTTCTTTCGAAATTGCTTTCTAGTCTATAACTTTTGATTGAGAAGTCTGATCGAAAAATGACGAATTGTTTTGGATTCTACGCACCAAAATTAATAAGAAAAAGTGTTTTCCCGAGAAATTTTGGTGCAGTCGATTTTTGGTAAAAAAAGGTTAGGTATACACTGCTTTTTTTTGAGCCCCGAAAAAAAAATTGTCTCAGATCGACCCGGAAAAAATTTTTCTTACAGAATGTGGCCTGTAGAATCCATAATTTCGAACAGTTTCAAGATTGGGCTACAAGTTCAAAAGTTACAGCCCTTTGAATTTTCTTTCGAAATTGGTTTCTAGTCTATAACTTTTGATTGAGAAGTCTGATCGAAAGAGTACGAATTGATTTGAATTCTACGCACCCAAATTAATCAGAAAAAGTGTTTTCCCGAGAAAGTTTGGTGTAGTCGATTTTTGGTAAAAAAAAGGAAGGTTATACACTGCCTTTTTTTGAGCCCCGAAAAAAAAATTGTGTCAGATCGACACGGAAAAACAATTTTCTTATAGAATGTGGCCTGTAGAATCCATAATTTCAAACAGTTCCAAGATTGGGCTATTTTGGTGCAGTCGATTTTTGGCAGGGTGTGTATATTAGTAAAACAATATATAGTAAAACTAGCTATACACTTGCAACAATATGTATATGATAAATTTTATAATTCTTCATAGCTAATGTATTATATTTTTTTATAGCTATTATTATATTTTTAATTACGGTTAACATACATTTTTCTCCGTGTATCAATCAGATGATTGTTTCTGTTGCCAAAGGGCATAGCCCAAACATTTGGACTGTGCGGTGTCAGTGTTGGGCGTCGAGGGTAGTAAAGTAGCTCTGACCTGGGGGAATCCGAGCTATTACTTCTTTTGGGAGCTGAATAAAATAAGCAGGACGGCTAAACGAGTTTGTTGATTTCAGTAAAATCTACAGTGATTCGGGGTTCATCGAAGCCTTTCTTTGGGACCATAACCATGGGATAACACCAATCTATCGCTTCTCCAAGTGGACCGGATCCTATGATTCCTTTGCTGACCATAGCATCCAGTTGAGATTTCACTGAGTGTCTTCAGTGAAATGGGATAGTGTAAGCCTTGTAACGCCCCTTCGATCAGTTCAATGTTAATCGGGGTTGCATTCATTGGGCGGAGAGTGACGTCATTGAATGTGACAAGGAGGAGGGAGCAACTTCATTGGTCGAAGTTGGAATCGAGCTTTACCATTTGTAATGGCGTAGAGGGTTTCGGATGCTCCTACTATTCTGGTGCAAGGTCAATTTGGTTCCAGTAGTGCAAGGGCGTTTGCTAAAAAGCGGAGTAGTCACATTCCGAAACACTCCAATGGTGTTTAGCATTGATGGATGGGATTGTTTGTGGTTAGGGTTTGAATTTAATTCCATCAGCATTCTGAGATGGTTTTCCTTTAAGTTGATTTAAAGGCTGCAACACTAGCCGTAGGCATGGAGATTGATCTAGTGTGATGTTGAAGAAACTATCAGAAAGCACTTTCTTTTGCATCTGTTTAACACAAGGAAATGCTCAGATATCCGCACCTGAAATCGGTCGAGTGATCATTCGTCTACTGACCCACCTGGTTGGTCGCGACGATGGAATTCTTGCCTGTCCAATAGTGAATTGCTTCGCCTTCAAAGACATGGCTCCATTTTTTTCGAGGATGTGGTCCATTTGGGTCGAGAGCGTAATGCAAAGGCTGGAGCTACTCCACAGCATGGCCCAAAGACCGATCGTAGGATTCCATTTTGAATATCTAAGGGCTATCGGAGGAGTTGCTGGGCATTTTGGTAATCTTTCCAGCGGAGATTCCAATCCAGGAACTGAGGAATTGTCAAGTTCCGGCAAGGTAAGCTTTGGAAGCGGGAGAGACTTCTCTGCTGGAATATGAATTGGGGTTGACGCAATTCCAGAGGAAGAATTTTGCCGATTCAGGGCCTGGGTGAAGGCGCGGACGAGTTCTTGTGGATCCACAACTTGTAATAAATGAGAAGGAATCACTTTCGGGTTGGGTGCCTGGTTAGCCGCTGATTTGGATTTCTTTGCTCTTGCCATTTTGAGAGAGAAACAGCAACAATTTATTCACTTTCCTAAAATCACTTTTGGATTTCACCCTGTATCCCAGAGGAAACGTAGCTAGATTTATTCTGTTTGTGGTATTAAATGTGGCACAGGGTTGCCAAAAACGCAAGCCCCTATCTTTAAAAAAAAACAGTTGAAATACACTACAGTCTCAACCAAAATAGGATACGGGGTAGACCCAAAAGCACGAATAATGAACTATTTTTTCTTTATTTTAGTTAGTGCAACGGCCGAAGGTGTTGTTAAAATAAAATAATTCTTTAATAACCTATGGCGACTGTGATAAAATTCTTTTTTGAAAGCAATGCAAAATCTCACCCTAAGAAGGAAAGGTTAAATGCGTCTGTTAGCAAGGAGAAACATAAAAACACATTTGCACACAATTTTATTGCCAGTCTTTGTTTAATATCATTGTTTACAACTTCATATCTGTTTCTGAGGTTAGTTCTCTATCATGACGTCAGAGCGTAATTAAAAACAGGCTAATTTTTCATTAAAGACATGATACACATTTTAATGCTAAATTAGTATATGGAGTTCTTCTCTTTTTTTATTGGCAACGATAGTTATGCCAGGGGTGCATTATTAACAAGAAAAATACTGAACTATACAAAGTGTAGGGAAAGAATTAGGCTGTTTGCACCGCCAAAGTCCATGACAACCATTTTTGCAACAATTGTTGCTATGTATCAGAAGCCTTTTACAAGCCATTTGCGAGAAAACTGAAATAAAAATCTACGTTTACATCAATTCGGGGTTGACAATCTGGCATGATGGTAAAGAATTATACTCTCAGAAGCTGATTGATCTAGTCACTTTTTTCCCTTGTGCAAGTCATATATCAGCCTTGCAATTGCACAGTATTCCATAGGCATGCCTGTAACAATGGAGCAATTTGAAACCGCTCAAACGCGCACATGACAAAGCACTCACCTAAGCTCTGGAAGATGGATGTATCGTCAACTGAGGGAGCTGGTATTTTACCCGTAATCACGTCACCAACTTGGCCCTCAAATTTCCCGCCCAGTGCGGAAATGTGCTTCAACTCTGCTTCGGCACCCTCCTTGTAGTCGCAATAAATTTTACTCGCCTTGTACGTGTCCGCATCTAACTCGGTAGCGAATGGGCTAACGCCAATTGCTGCAAAAACCAAATGAGCCAGCATCTCAAAGGAGATATCAATTTACCGTTGATGTGGGCGCCCTTTTTAACCCAAGGATACTTGACCAAAGTTTGAACGGCATCAGTTGCCGTAATAATCACGTCGGCATTTCGCACGCACTCCTCAACGGTTGGGCTCGCTGTAAACACGGTCTTGTTGAACTTTTTGTTTAGCTCTCCGGCGACATTTTCGGCTTTTGATGCTGTTCGGTTCCATATGCGAACCTAGGATGTGCAATTTAGCTTCTGTCATCCCAAAAGAATGTGGTTACCTCGGCAAAGTTGAAGTACTTTTGGAAGGCAATGGCGTGTATCCGTCCCTGATGACCTGCTCCAATCACGGCCAAAATCCTGTTGGGTTTGCCACAGTCTGGTCCGTGCAGGTGCTTGGTCGCAGTAACCGAAGCGGCGGCGGTCACCCACTCCATCGCTTCGTTACAGGCAATCACCTAATAATCCGAACGATTATTTTACTAAGCGCTAGCTGGGGCAAATTTACAGCTTTGGTAACTCCAGTTTCTTCATCCATGTACGCCATATCCGCGTGGATTATCGGCAATGGAGGCTGACGCTTAGGATTACCGCCGTACTTGGTAAAAACCATGCTAACTAACGCCCCGTACTTTGGATCCTTCAAGTAACCGGGCATTACGAAGAGCAAGTTCGGCTGATTGCCGACCGGGACCACCTTGCGAGTGGTTTGAAAGGCGTCGCCAGTGGAAACGCTCGCCATGGCGCGTTCGACCACCTCGAACGCCTTTGGCCATGTCAGTAACTGCTTAACGCGCTCGTCTGATATGTACTCGTATGGGAACGGCATTTTGGTAAAACTTAAGAGTACAGATTGACGAATTCGTTTTTATACGTGACTTGTCTAACCACTTCCTTTGTCTGTGGTTTGGTCAACATGGTTGGAACCTTCATTTGGATACAAATATTTTTGTTTGTACAATCCACTGCGAACAAAGTGAGGCTAGGTCAGAAACCTGCATGGGTCACAGTCATGATCATTTTTTTGCATGAATACAGATGCTAATAGAGATAATAGGCATAATATATGTAGCTCAACTGATAAGGAGGGCAAAGTTTGTTATTAATTTTATACCGAAATTTTAGAATTTTAATTTAATAATAAGTTCACAATTTTGTTTATAATTATTGTAAGTGGATGAGCAATAAGTCAATAAATTTTTACTCTTTTAGTTTAATTAACAAATTCATTAATTTACGAGCGAATTGACCCTTTGTAATTTAAGCTTTGCAAACAAATTTTAACTTGGATATTAATAATTGCAAAGTGATAAACCATATGTCAAAAATTACACATAACTCCTTTATAGAACTGATTCAAAATAGAAGGTGTGAGAAAAGGGATGAACAATAATAAGGCAAAAAATAACAAATAATTTATGATCTAGCTAGTTTATTAAGCAGTCCATTAGTTTCGAAGTAGAAAGGCACAAATTTAGAACCAAGAACAAATAATTATAGAATTTTAATATAATAACAACATTAGTTACTGAATATATAAGGGTGAGAATTAGAATATACAACTTGAAGTTTGGGAAAGTTTAACTTTCACACTAATTATTGCAAAGGGATGAGCGATACGCAAAAGTACCGCAAATATTTTACAGTGTTGTAACTGTAATTGGAATCGGCCCTTTAAAGTTTGGAAAGCAAACTCGACTTGATTTTTGCAAAAGGGGATGAACGACGAACGTCGGTATATCGCAAATAATTTATAGTGTTTTAAACTAATAGTTCGTATATTCCAGAGGCTCCTTTAAAATTTGAGGAGAAAACTTTGGCTTTATTTATTGCGAAGTGATGAATGGTACGTTGATATGGCAAATGTCTTGAATTGGTAGTCCGTCTTTTCTTTCAACTTTTAAATGGGCGAACCTGTCCCTTAAAGTTTACGGAGCAAATTAAGCTTTAATTTTAATTATATCAAAAGGATAAGAATGCAAATAATTTAAAGTAATAACTTATCCGCTCCTATAATCTAAAAAGGCGAATCTGGTGCTTTATGGTTTGTGAAAAAAATAAATTTCGGTGTTTAACTATTGCAATTAGGGATGAACGGTACAAGACAGCGCAAGTAATTTAAAGCTTTTCAAATTAAGCTCTATTCTTTCCGACATAATCATAAATCGACAAGAAATTACTCATGGAGATTTCACTCAAAATCTAAGTAGTCATCTTCCTCCCGATATTGGTATAATAGCCTTGTACTTGGTATTCACGTAATTGTGTAATGAGAATTTCTAACCACTGACAGGATTCTGTGGATGATCAAGGTTCTGCACGTGTTAGTGCTTTGCTCACCATAAGGTGTTGTCAGGAAGATATGACGCCAAGAGTATGAAGAGCTAAATAGCTGATGAGGATTGCTAAGAGGATCAGTCGGTAGTACACAGTGCCATACAATAGTTCTAATCTTCCTACCAGAATGCAAAGGTAAGATTTTGTAATATTTGCTTCTGTTTATAAACAAACAATAAACCTTTAAACAATGCAATCCTCTATCTGTAACTACGATCCGAACTATAGTCACGTCACCTCTCGTATGCATAGAGCTACCCCCTAGACGTGATAATAATTTGAAAAAAAATTAATTTCCTTATATATTACTGCAAAGGGATGAATGGCACGACAAACCATCTATTCCTTCTAGAAGCAAATTTCAGATTGATAGTAATAGTTGTAAAAAGGGTGACCGATAAGTCAATATGTATCAAATAATTGATAACGTTTTATGTAAGATACCATCCACTCCTAAAATTAAAGGGGCGAATGGGCACTTTAAACTTTAAAGTTTGGAGAAGGATTTTAATTTCGGTATCAATTATTGCAAAAGGATAAACCATAACGATAGGACAAAACATCACGGATTATTAATAGTCTTTCAAATAGTACCTAATCCATCAATTCCTTCGATTTTTAAAGGGGCTAATCTCTTTGTAGCCCCTATTAGACTTGTAAGTCAGTTTACCTTTAAAGTACATATAGGTTTCTATATCTGGCGGATCTCCCACGCTAGAGAGAGTTTCTATAATAACGCAAATAATCGTGATACTCTATTCCACACCACTTCGGTTGAACTATAGGCCCGTTTTTTAAGGCGTATCCCCAGTAGGCCTAATCCACTATATTATACTATTATATTGCGCACATTGCAAAAAAGTGCCGATGGTAATGCAAACTCTCTCAATGGGTGTAGGCCTAAGCCTTTGCATTTTTTCCCTAATAGTTTGTTACACTGCTCGGAAGGGACGGTTTGGATCAAAAACGCAGACCCACATGATGGTGGGTATAAGCCTTTGCATTTTCCTAACAATTCGCTAAGCTACACGCAAGGGAAAAGTTTGGCTCAAAAATGCAGGCCTTCTCAATAAACGTAGGCCTAAGCCTTTGCAGATTTTTTAACAATTCGCTAAACTATCCGGAAGGAAAAAGTTTGGCCCTCTTAATAGTTGTAGGCCTAAGCCTTTGCATTTTTCATAACCATTCACACACGAAAGGGGGAAGTTGGGCTAAAAATCCAGAACTTCTTAATGAGTTTAGGCCTAAACTTTTGCATGTTTCCTAACAATTCGTTACTTTGCACGGAAGAGTTTGGTTCAAAAATGCTGACCTTCTCAATGGGTGGAAGCTAAGCCTTTCCTTTTTCCTAACAATTCACTGAACTACACGAAAGGAGCCTTCCAAAGCATCAGCAAGTTTGCAGAAGCCCTCCTATTACGTTAATTAACTCCCTTTTTGCCGCAAGCTTCAGCTTTTATGCCTGAAACTCCGGAGAATCGATTAATCGTGATTATTTAGTTGTAACACTTTAACCTGAGCACACATTTGCATATTTTCAAGTTTTTTTCTTAAAAATGCTCTTCAAACATTTTTTGAAACATTTTTTTATAGGAATCCTGGTATCGAATGTTGCTCTGAAACCATCTTTTCAATATTCTTGAAATCTTAAATACTATTTTTTGAAATATTCTAAGAATCCTATCATCTCGAAATCACCTTTGGAAAGATTTCTAGGATCCTAGAATTTTGGTGTAGCACCAATTCTGTAAAAAATTGTTCGGTGACCCCTTGCGTGAATTGAACCTATATCAGTTAGAAGATAATTATGCTATTTCCAGCACTTAGATTATCCCCGGCTTATCATAATCAAGGCAAACAAGTAGATAACCGTTAAAAAATGCATAAAAGTTATACTGCATGCACTACATCAAGTTCGCTGTGCAGTATGTCGCGCCCATACGAGTATCTAACGGAAGACTGCGTTAAAGGTCGGCTAACCTGGAATAAAGCGATTGTGGCAGCTGAAAGGGCTCTAAAAGGTCTTGCAACGGGCGAGGCTCGCCAGACCAGACGTGTTAAACTGCAACTAGGCGAAAGTCCAAATTTCATATTCATCATGTGCGGATACTTGAGAGATTGCGACTACGGAGGGCTGGTGAGCTTATCGGTGACCAAGTTCGTTGGTAACCGAAGCCTGCAGCCGCCACTTCCAATTATGCACTCTGACGTAGCTCTAATGGATGAAAACACTGGAGTTACCAAAGCGGTAAGGACGCCGTTGGTTAATCCTAAACCGCCTATTACAATTATTAGGTTATTCCTGGAAGGGACTTGACGAAGTGGGTGATCCCGTCGGTTTCCGTAGTGGCTACGAAATATCTTCATGGAGAGACTGGCGGGACTTTGGCAATCATTGGCGCTGGTAACCAAGGAAGACTTCACGCCATTGCTTTGCAAGGACACTTCCACTTTTCAAAGGTAAGTGTACCACGCTGGTGATGGTTCCAAGTAAGTTGCTCAGGTTCGGGTATGGAATCGTACGGCGTCCAAAGCTGAAGATTTAGTAAACGAGTTAAATCGTGAAATAGAGGCATCTCCGTTTGCCACTGCTGCCTCAGTAGAGGAATGCGTTACCGGCGCCGACGTCATCGTTACCGCAACAAATTCATCGCAAACTCTGGTACAAGGGTCTTGGATTAAAAAGGGGGCCCACATTAACGGTAGATTTTTTACAAACGCCCGGATGTCTCAACACATAACTTCCAGCAATTGGGGTTAGCGTGACCACCACCGAATTGGATGCCGATACTTATCGCGCTTCTAAAATTTACACCGATAATAAAGCTGAAGCGGAAACTGAACTGAACTCCATCGTTCAAATGGGGGTGAAATTTGAATGCGAAGTTGGAGACGTTATTGTGCAGAAGGTACAGGCACCTAAACGTGGAGACACTACCATCTTCCAAAGCTCAGGTAACCTTATCAAATGGTTCTAGTGCACTAAATTTTACTGTTAAATAGGGACGGCTGTCCAGTATTGCGCGATGGCTCGTCTCATGTACAACATGTACAAATGAAGGAATTGAGGAGATGACTCAGATCGTAGCAAAACCTACTAGAAAAAAGCACTAGAGTACTTACATTTGACGTATTCGTATCGTTTTGGGAATCGCACTTGTTCTTTAATAAAGAACAAGGTTTAAAGAATAATATGTAATTATTTAATAGCATTACACTGAATTCAGTTTTTTAACGTATTTCGTGTTTAGGGTTTGAATTCCAATAAAAGTTGATTATAAAATATGTAACCAGTTTCTTCTTTTATATGCACACAGCAACATTTTTTTAGTCAGATATTGCAACAAATAGTAAGAACATAAATGAAAATTTGAGCACGAGTTGAATAAAGGGATTTATTTTTTATTGCGAGGGGCGCTAATGGTTAGTCCAGTTTTAGTGGTAAGTTTAATGTTTATGAAAGGAATCCAAATTATGCTCGGCTATTTGATTAAGCATTTTTAGTGGATGTCATTGGTCACTTAGGTATACTAAACAGAAATATTTAGAAACACGAACAATTTGTTCATAAATTGTTCGCAGAAAATTATTTCAAGCGAAACTTCGGTTGTGGGAAACTCAGTTTCGTCTTGGAAATACCTAGGTATCATTTCCCCACATTGTCGGCACACAAAAATTTTGATAGGAATGCCTTAGCCGAGGTTCTGAGTTCTTGGATTTCAAGATTTTCGTTCACGAGAGAAAGAGAAAATTATTAATCAATTCATTTATTGTGGTCGCTGAAAAAGTGACCTTCCCAGATCAAAAAAAAGATCAGATGTCTTTCCGGTAATAGTTATTGTTGAGAAAACAGCTTTTATAGCTCATGTAATGAGGAAATATATAGTACCAAAAAGAAATAAATTGTTAATATTTTCTTCAAACATAGGTACTTTTTATTTGGATTTTCAACCGTCTATATGAAACATATAGTTTTGGCCCCTTGGATAAAAAAGTGGCCCATGCCTAGTCCGTAGTGTACCATAAGACCATCTTAAAAAATTTGAACGGCACAATCCAAGATGCAGTGAGCACAATTAACTGCCATTATTGTTCATTCCATATCTGCAAAAAACATGAGGGCTGAGGGTCCGTAAAACTATATTTTCGAATATTTGAAAGGCACAATCCAATATGCAGTGAGCACTAATTGATTTCCATTATTTTTTCTTCCATGTCTGTATTCTCGAAAATCAGGACGGCAATATTCAATATGCTCCTAGCACAACTCGTGAAAGTAGTAGTGGAAATTGTCCCTTAAAAAACCGAGAGGCTGAGAGGCAAATTTTCCAGATCAGCACGAATTAAAATTGAATCAGCACAATTTAGCACAACACTAACACTATTTAAAAATTTTCATTACACATTTTGCGGAGTTAACTTGATGGGGCTCACGATTGTGCTATACCTGCACTACTTCCGTCGAGCTTGAGGAGTTCTATGAGTGATATTATCACATATACGTAAAGAATACATAAAGAATACGTCTATCTGTGGTATTATGTTGAAGCTTGCACTCTCAGTACGAATAAACTGATTTGCCACACTAGTCCAGGAAACGAAGCTTAAAATACTAATAAAATAAAATACTAGTAGTTTATTCTAAATAGCATTTGCACATGCCCTCCGCTTCAAAATCTGTATAATGTCGGTGGGCGCTTTTCATTTTTTGGTGATGAAAACTACCCATTTTTGCTAAAACCTAATGAAACTATATTCTAAGTTTAAGAGTAAATTCACAGAGGTTTTTGTATATTTTTGCACATCATTACTCCCTCCGGATCAGTCCAAAACAGCACCACATTCACTTTTATGCTTTTTTTAAAGAAAACCTATTCATAGCAAAAACACTTCTAAAATTAGGTGCATTTCTTCAATTTCTTTATTTCTTCGCCCTTTTTAAGCACGTTTATTTCCAGTCTACTTTACGGATTTTTTTGTAAAATTTCTAGCTATTTTCTCAACGTTTGATTTTGCTCCTAGCAGAATTAAAGGTAATTACAAACGGCGAACATAGCAGATTTTGTTGTAATGATGACGCAAAATCGCAATATGAACGCGACGGATTTTTTCAATGGGTCATATCCGATTTTGTAGAACTTCTTTTGAGTGTTGAGAGCCAAAATGTTTGGCAGCTCAAAACCGACTTAATTCATGGATTCTACGCACTAGGTTTGCAAAAAAGACAATTTTGGAGCCGATTCTGGAAAGCTTTTAAGACTCTTCATTTTTTCCGGATAAACTTGTGCCATCATTGAAAAGATAACGATGAAAAACGCAGAATCACTTCAAAAATTTCCCCATTTAACAAGTCTTATACGTAAAATACAAAGGATGCCAGTGGCAAATACTTTTCAGCTATCTCTCAAAAGCAAATTGGTGGTCTGCTCGAGAGGTGTCCTAGTGCGGCAACTGGGGCCCCCATAAATTTTACACTGGAGTGGAGTCCCCAGTATGGCATACCGATGCTGGGTTCAGTGCCCCCTAGTGGAAGTTGTTTAAAATATGCTCTGGCTACCTACAGATTCACAAGGCGACGGGACGACAGATGTGCGGAGCTCAGGCATACAGACATTCCAGGACGTGCGTCGTGCAGTATTTCAGTGTGAGAGGTGGGAAAGGTGTAGAATGGAATTGGCGGACACACACACGCACGCATGCACGCATCCACCCACCCACGCTACACGCGTCGAAATCATTTCAAAGCTTAGGAGTCACTGAGAGGCTCCTCAAATGGTTCACCGAGGCCGTACCGAAGGTTAAGTTAATGGTTTATTGAGGTTAGGTTAGAGTGGTAGTTAGGTCAGTGAGAAATCTTGTACCAGGAGTATATAATGTGCGAGGAGATTGAAGGAAAAGTGCAGGAAAAGACTGCTTTCCTGGGCTCCTCAAGGCTGCCATCTGGTGGGAGCCTGACGACCTGGTGGCGGTTAAACGGCGCTTGGAGGTGCAGAATTCCGGGGGGAAAGTAGGCATCTGGCAGGAGGAATGGGCTCGTATGAAATCCTGGACAAGTAGATAGATTCCCAACGTCCAGAAATAGCACCAGAGAAAGCACGAAGAGGTACACCACCATCTAACACAATTTTTAACAGGAAACGGTTAGAACCCAGAGTAACATCACAAGCGGCCAAAAATTTTAAAGATCGACAATCATTCGTTGACAGAGTAAGGTGCGTTTTCCCATCTCAAATGGGATGGAATTTCTTATCTACTACAAAGAGTTAGAGAGAGTTTCAATCATTGTACACCTACGTTCCCAAAGCACCCACAGCGAGTAGTTGCTACTTCATTGAAAAAAGAAATGATTATATGGAGGTCTTCCCGTCGTTTTAGTTAGTCTTTACGGAAAATATTCGGAGCAAATCAATACCAAACGTATAGTATTTTACAGCAAACGTAGCACCTTCTGTATCTATTAGCTGAAAAAGTAGCTCGAACAAGGTTACATAAAAGTATTAAAACCTGTTTACTACTACCACTGCACATGTCACTCAATCCTCAATCTCGGTCCAACTCTTATCTTAGTTATCTCCCTTTAAACCGTTGGAACGACTCGCAACAAAAGCAGCACAGGAAGTGGCTTTGTAGCCGCACGTTTATATAGCCGCGCCTAAAAATAGCTCACTTTGTCGCGATGCTTCCATACAAATTCATTTCCGAATCGCGCGTCGGCGAATTACTTGAATGGGAACCCGTAGTAGACGCCGTCGAGCACGCCCTTAAAAGCGTATCGACAGGATGTGCCTTTCAAAGTCCTCGCGTTAAAATTGTCCTGCCGGAATCGAATCTTCTGTACTCGACACCTGGATACCTAAAGGATGACAAATACGGAGCATTGGCCAGTCGCGTCATGACGAAGTTTCCCAGCAACAGACGGTTGCAGCCTCCACGATCGGCTTTGAACGCGAACATAAGCCTGATGGACGAAAGTACGGGGGTAGTGAAAGCGGTACGTATAATATCCCTTAAACGTATTAAATGCAGTTGACGTTTTAAGATTATCCAAGGGAATGAGCTGACGGATTGGAGAACTGCGGCGGTTTCGGTTGTGGCCACGAAACATCTGCACAAGGAGAAACCGAAGGAGATATTGGCGATCATTGGCGCTGGAATTCAGGGGCGAATTCACGCCATTGCGTTCCAAACGTGCTTCAAATTTCGAGAGGTACCCAATTCGTGTACTAATACTGTTGTAATCGAGATCCGTAGGTCCGTATTTGGAATCGTACTGGAAAACGTGCAGTGGATTTGGCCAGGAAACTGAATCATGAGCTAAAAACCGACGCGTTCGTCTCATGCGAAACTGTTTCAGATTGTGTTAAAAACGCAGATGTTATCGTTACAGCGGCCATGGCAAAAGAAATGCTTGTAAAGCATGAAATGGTGAAGAAAGGAGCACATATTAACGGTAGCCTTTTATGTACCTACAGTATGATAGAGCCTTATGCCTTACTATGTCGTAGCGATCAGTGTCAATCCTTCAGGTACTGATCTGGACGAGGAAACCTATCGAATTAGCAAAGTGTTTTGTGATCATTGGACTGGTGTCGAACACGAACTCCAACACATTATCGCTTTTGGTGCAAAATTCGTTGGACAAGTTGGCGATGTGATTGCTGGTTCGGTACAGGCGCCTGGAGCTGGCGAAACTAGCATTTTTCAAAGTTTGGGTAAGAACCTTTATTTGAAATAATGTACTAAAGTTGTGTGTTTCCAGGAATGGCTGTGGAGGATTGCGCACTGGCTCGCTTAATATACGATCTTGACCAAATTGTCAAGTAGGACGTGAGAAAATGTCACCCAGAAAATTGCGCAGCATTTCGACAATAGATCTCACACCAAATTCAGATTTGGAATAAAACAATTTGCAATCAGTTTAAATTGCTTCTTAATAATCCTGTTAAGAAATGTTCACTATTATTGTAGCAGATGTGTGAATTAAGCTCACCTTGCAGTGTGTTAGGTCAGATAAGGCTATATGCAAAATAATTAGCAGACCAGAAACATACGGTATCAAATATCAGTGATCTATAATTAAGAATTAAAGTTCGAGTGCAAGATCTAGATTCTACACTCTTATGTCTCCAGTATTTCAGTGTTCCCTCTGATAATTTGCTCGTACACATTTCCACTAGTGCCTATTGAAACCATCGCGCATTCCTAGCCACACATGATGATATTCGATACCAAGCAAACAAGGTAAAGAATCGAATCAGCCAACGAGCGTAAGGGTTTCAGAAAAACTGTGTTTATATTTGGGGTTGCATTGCTCTATTTCCAAGACATAGATAGAAATGAAAGACACAGAATAAGGAACCTTATATCTTAAATAGATGATTAAGGAGCAGCAGCAGGTATCAGGGTTTGGGAAGACTTATCTAATGAAAAGCATAAAACGAGAAACGAGCGATATCCTAAACCGTAACTTAGGTATTAGGTGTGTTTTTCAAGCGCAAACATTGCTCTTCTTGTTTTTATACAAAATAAGTAGAAACATGGAATTATTATTCCACAGAACTTCCTTAAAATTTTCTCGAGTTCCCTAACCTGACAAAAACTTACTCCCCCAAATTTATCACGGAAACGGGGCACGGTAAAAAATGGGATTTACCAAAGGCGGTGTGAATTTGGCCGGGACTGTTATTTAATAAATAAACAAAATTAAAGGAAGGACTTTTTTAGGTAAGCAGTGATTAATAGGACTAATAGAATGACGTGGGTGGGGGCAGAGCCCAACAACGGGAGATCTGTAAAGGGGCGACTTAACACAACGGAGTGGCGCCCGATGCTCCGAGTTTGGAGTTGGTAGTTGCTGATCCTCTATTCACCCACGCTCCAGTCGGTGTTGGTTTGCTCTGGAAAAGAGATGGGATTGATTAACAATCTTTAAAAGCATTTAGGATTGGAGGAAAAGAGACAATAACCAGTGAAAAATTTGACTCCGCCATTTTTAAAGTTAATACAGTCATTGGTTGAAGTTCTTAAAAAAAACTAATGTTATACTTATAATAAATCACTATTTTTAATTTCTGAAGGAGTTTCAAAGTAAAACTTAATTAATACGATTTTGAAGAAGTTAACCATTTCGTTGTCTTGTAACCTGTATATTTACCAACCTATTGAATTTAGACTATATATAAATAATCAGATTTTTGTGCCGTTTAATTTAATGCAGAATTTCAATAACTCTGCCAAATTCATGCGTTCATTAATTACCAACTTTATCTTATAAAAGGTGCATAAAGAAAGTAATAAAAGGTTTTAGCAAAATATACTTATTTGTAACAAATTCGTGTACAAAGGCAAGTGCGTATGAAACAAAGTTTTAAATTTTCAATATACACGGTGTCCATTTTTCGAGTGCCACTATGAGGATCTCGCTTATCTTAAGAGATAGACATTTGGTTAAATGAGGGCAAAGTTGCGAATTTCCGTGTTGAATAATAATCTGAAAAAAAATTTAAAATATCTTCAATAGAAAATATCGCAAAAAAAAGAAAATTTTTGATTTTCGTTTTTAATTTTTTCATAGTAAACTAATCCTTCTAGACATTTCTAATTAACACATTATTCAGACACTTTTTAATGGAGATTTCGAATATGGCATTCCGTTTTCAATAACTTTTAAGATGATGGAGAAACACGTGACAACTTTAATTTTTCTTATGGGCACCGTTTTGGATTTTGACATTTTGAGATTACGTCTTTTTTTCTCTTTACAACGATATATCACACATGGTGGTTCAGTAACACATTTTTCCTAAAATTACAATTTTCATTTTCTGCGAAGAGTGCTTTGGAAAAACAAAACGTTGTTTTATTATAAGACTCATTTCATGTAGTATAATTTACGTTTGTGCTAGATTTATTGCGAAAATATTATTTATTCTTAAGTATTTTGTTCTAATTTGAATTATAATTTTCTTGCAAAACGAAGGTTCAATTCTATTCAGATGAAAATCTCAACACAACTAGTTCCCTGCCAACGCTCCAACCAGACAGATGGATCAAACTGTCAAACTTTTGTTCACGATAAAAGAAACGTTTTGTTTTTCCAAAGCGCTCTTCCCAAAAAATTAATAAGTGTCTGAATAATGTTTTTTTGCGATATTTTCAAAACTACTAAAGATATTTTGAATTTATTTTCAGATTATTATTCAGCACGAAAATTCGCAACTTTGCCCCCATTTAACCAACTCTCTATCTCTTCAGGTAAGCGAGATCCCCATAGTGGCACTCGAAAACTGGACACCGTGTATAGCCAGTTCAGTGTTTATTTTATCGACAAGGAATAAAAATTAAAGCATTTTGTAGTTACTTTTCGGATCCCATTGGCCTTTAAAATTACAAAAGCTATTTCTTCGGTACTTTTTTGTCCTCTTAGCTACTGATCCTGCAAATTCTATTCCTGCAATGGTATTTTGTATTTTCTACGTTGATTTTCAAAGTGTTTACCATTCACAGGCTGTTGCAAAACAAGTAAAACATCATTTATTATCCCTGTCTAGACGAGACGAATGAAGGGTAGTTTGACAGTTTTTTTATGTTTTGTATGTAGAGATTTAAAACGAGAGAGGTAAGGTCAACTTCAACCCACTCGGATAGTAATTTGAAGAGAAAATTGCAAAAAGTAGTCCGGCCCTCTTTTTCATTTTACCAAGTTTATTCGACAGGTGCGAATGTAAATACTGCCGGTTGAACAAATAAGGAAAGTGGAGAAAAATACAAAGGACGAGAATAAATCTCCATAGCAACTAAAGCCCGTGACTCTTTCGCCCTTCGCGAGCTACAATTGAAAATCAAATATGAATCTTTTGCATTTGTGGCGTCTTTTAGATGATTTCTTTCGTTTTCGTTTCCAGGTTACATATGTCGTTGACAAGGGGTATAATATGATCTAATCGGCTTTGCGGTTGTCAAGTTTCGTGAATTGGTTTCTAGCGTGTAAGCGAGATTTAAAGGATATAAATCCTAAAGCATTGGGTAAAGACTAATCCACTTTAATTTTCTCTTTTTACGACGGGGAGGCTTATATTTTGCAACTCTTTCGACATTTCAACGTGTTGTCTTGCTTTAGAACACACAAATCTTACTCTTCGTGGTCGCAATGTGTGGTCAAATTCAGGACGTGGTTGTTTATTCCATCTCTGATGAAGCAAATTTCATTCGTTTCAAAAATGTCGTGCGCCTATGAGTACATATCCGATGCACGTGTCGCGGAGCTGTTAACGTGGGAGGATGTACTTGAAGCAGCCGAACGTGCCCTGGAGAGTGTCTCCACTGGCGATGCTTACCAAAGTACACGCGCCCATCTGACAGTTGGACAAAGCTTCAATTCGGTCAATACAATGAGTGGCTATCTGCAGGACAAGAAATACGGTTCGCTAGTCCACCTTTTCTTCAACCCGTTCAGAGGAAATCGCAACCTGGACCCACCATTACCTGTTGTGCACTCCGAAATCACATTGGTCGACGAAACTACAGGTGTCAGCAAGGCGGTGAGTGTGTCGATTAATTTAACTGCGTTACTGAGAACGTATCGTAGATGATTAGTGGAAATGAAACGATGAGGTGGATAACTCCGGCGGTTTCGGTGGTTGCCACCAAACACCTTCATAGGAAAGGAAAGGAAACTTTGGCAATCCTTGGAGCGGGAAATCAAGGCAGGATTCATGCTATGGCTTTTCAGAGATATTTTAATTTTTCAAAAGTAAGCTCAACCACGAGCTGCACTTACTAACTTTTGCCACAGGTTCGCGTATGGAATCGCACCAGGTCGAAGGCGGAGAACTTGGTCAATGAACTAAACCAAGGTACTAATAAAGGCGTCTTTACGACGTCGTCTACCGTCGAAGATTGCGTCAGTGGGGCAGACGTCATTGTGACAGCAACACACTCCTCTCAAACGTTGGTAAAAAAATCATGGATTAAAGCTGGCGCCCACATTAACGGTTGATTACATGCTGCCGGCTGGGGACTGTTTTGAGATGCTTGTTTTCTAGCGATTGGCGTCAGCCCAGTTAATACCGAATTGGACGCTGACACGTATCGGATCTGTAAAATTTACAGCGACTACAAAGAGGGAGCCGAAGCTGAACTGAAGCACATTGAAAAATTGGGTGCTAAATTTGAGGGACAAGTTGGAGATGTCATTTCTGGTAAAATTTCGCCACCCAAGGAGAGCGATACCACAATCTTTCAAAGTTTAGGTTAGACTTCTAAACTGAGTTGTTGAATATCTTTCAGTTCTGTTTCTTTTAGGGATGGCCGTTCAGTATTGTGCGATATGTCGCTTAATCTACGACAAGCACCATTTTAAACAATAGTGCTGTTACATACTGATGCCTGCGAATGTTAGACCCAAAGATGGGACTAACGGCCATTCCGAGGGTTTCTGGTATGTTCTTTTTCTAGGTAAAAACAAGGAGAACCTGCCACTCTAACTTAGGATTGTTTTCATTGTATCAAAGATTTGTGCTTAACAAAATAAAGTTTATAGTTACACGTTTTATTTTTTCAAGTAACCACCAAGCTTGCCATCCTTCAGAGGTAAAGGTCACGGATCGAACTACCCCAAATTGGAAGTGTTTTGCCGCAATCTATAAAGAAATATTGCGATTAATTAAACAGACGAATACCAACGTGTGTCTGCGAAAGCAAGAGAGATCAGAAGGTTGTTGGAATGGAAGAGACGGAAAGAATGCTTTTTTTAAGCAATGCGGTACTTCATGTTTCGTGTCATAAATCGTACACCAGAAAACTAGTACCTATAAGTGGAGTTGCACGTCGATTATGATCGGGTCAACCACCGTTAAAAGTGATCATTTCCAAACAACTAAAACCAAATGTCCATCGGCGGATTACTGTCAGGATCGTAACAACTAAAAAGTTTGGCGTAAATTTCTTGAAAACTACACCTGCCCAAGGAGACCAGTGACCGGAAAAAGTCACATCCCGATTGGGCAATTTGATTATTGATAAGGGGAGGTACTGTCAGAACGGCAGGAGAAAATTATTCTTACCTGTGGATTCAACAAACACGAATGGTAGACCCCAAGATGAAGGCAACTAAATTGAGAGCATGAAAGATGAGTGCCAAGTTTCTTTGAAAGTAGCCCTAAACGATTTCCCTGGCCCAAAAGTAAGTGGGGTGGGGTGCAAGAATATTATGGGAGTAGCATTATTGTATCAGTTGGTCAACACCGAGATACAGTACTGTGCTTCCGCAATACTGGTCACAAAATCACTTTTCAGCAATGGAACAATGATACAAATGTGGAGAAAGAAAGCCTCCGAATTGTTAGAGCAGCGACTAACATCATCCGGGAATATATCTGTTCAAAAGTGTATCGTCTTGACAGTGACCCACATTTCCAACGCTTTTTGGAAAACTGGGAGCAGGTTATTCCACAAACGCTACAGGTATTGCTTGATTCAATGGTAAAGGGAGGAAAACGAGCCAAAAGGCATTCTAACAAAATTTAAAAAAACAAAACTAAACAACATTAAACATTAAACTGATTTCAAACGGATTTTTGCTAAATGGAGAAAGTATGAACTTCCATGTTGGAATGGTTTCATGGAGCAAATATTATACACTGCCTTTTTTTGGCCCCGAAAAAAAATTGTCTCAGATCGACCCGGAAAAAAATTTTCTTACAGAATGTGGCCTGTAGAATCCATAATTTCAAACAGTTCCAAGATTGGGCTACTAGTTCAAAAGTTACAGCCCTGTGAATTTTTTATCGAAATTGGTTTCTAGTCTATAACTTTTGATTGAGGAGTCTAATCGAAAAAGTACGAATTGATTTGGATTCTACGCACCCAACCGGGTTTTCCCGAACAATTTTGGTCTAGTCGATTTTTGGTAAAAAAGGAAGGTTATACACTGCCTTTTTTTGAACCCCGAAAAAAAAAATTCTCAGATCGACCCGGAAAAGAATTTTCTTATAGAATGTGGCCTGTAGAATCCATAATTTCAAACAGTTCCAGAATTGGGCTACTAGTTCAAAAGGTACAGCCCTTTGAATTTTTTTTCGAAATTGGTTTCTAGTCTATAACTTTTGATTGAGAAGTCTGATCGAAAAACGGAAAAAGTACGAATTGATTTGGATTATACGCACCCAAATTAATAAGAAAAAGTGTTTTCCCGAGAAATTCTGGTGTAGTCGATTTTTGGTAAAAAAATGAAGGTTATACACTGCCTTTTTTTGAGCCCCGAAAAAAAATTGTCTCAGATCGACCCGGAAAAAAAATTTTCTTATTTAATGTGGCCTGTAGAATCCATAATTTCAAACAGTTCCAAGATTAGGCTACTAGTTCAAAAGTTACAGCTCTTTGAATTTTTTTTCGAAATTGGTTTCTAGTCTATAACTTTTGATTGAGAAGTCTGATCGAAAAAGTACGAATTGATTTGGATTCTACGCACCCAAATAAATTTTTGTGCAGTCGAATTTTCGTAAAAAAGGAATGTTATACTGAATAACGTGCTCTAAACTCGACGTCACAGATACCGTTTCTTCCATTTATCAATGCACCTCCCAGGAATAAAGAAATGCAAAAGCAATAAACCAACGGATCGTTTCCAGGGCCCTTGAGGCATCACAGAAGCACGAGAAGGTTGTGGTAGCTGATGGCCTCCTCATCATGGTCAATGACCAAGCAGCACCATCAGCAAATATGTATTTTTCAGAACCTGGAAAGGGAACGACGTCGTCAAAGATTTGGTCCCAACTGCTGCAAACTGGCAAATAACACTCATACTCCTCCACGCCATAAATGAATGTGACACTATTCCAGCCCTATTCAGGCAAGCAAAAAGAAGGTGGTCAATTTTTCTTAAAGCAAGACACTCGAGCTGAAGATATCGAAGCTGGCCTACGATTTTTCAGAACCCTCTACGGAAGTAAGGCAGGAGATATTTTAGATAAATTGGGACCTGATCTGTTTTCCATAGTCCTCGGAAAACCCAAATTCAACCTGACATCTACCACCAACATCCGAAGCAGCCTGCCAACACTTGTTGAGAACCAAATGTGGTTAGAACACCAGAAAGATCTACTCCTTTCGGGATGGCAGGCTTCAAATGGTTTGGTCTTGACCCCGTCAACCTCCAAGGAACCAGCTTCACAGTCTCTTATTTCCACAATTTTCTGCAAATGCAGCAAGGGGTATGCAAGGTGTTGTCAGAACAGTTGGTCGCAGTATACAGGGAGAAATTTTCTTGAATCTGCTACAATTTTATCTTTCATAACTTTTTCTGGAGCACCCTGTATTAATTTCGGCATCAAATTTGTGCCTTTCTGGTCTTTTGCACAATGCTCGTATCTATCACCGTTTTCGATTTATTTGCAAAAATAGGCTTCGATGGAAATTATGTGTAGTAGGCGAAATAAAGCAAAGTAAAAAGCTATTGGTAAGTGTTTATTTTAGATTAATCGACAGGGTTATCGACACTTATTAGTTAATTAATTAAAAATAAAACAAAATTATAAAAACTGTTAAAAGTGACCGCCTCTTGCTAAAATGCAAGAATAAAGTCTTCCCTTATGGACTGACGGACTTAACTATAAATTGCCTACCACAAGCTACTATTTTTAGCGCATTATTTAAGAGCCTCCTCCTCGACTCCTTATCGTGATCGGATATAAATAATTCTTTATTTTTTAAGAACAGATTGTCGGAGAATGGTACTCATACAAAGAGTGATTGGGACGTCTGGAAGAAATATATCTATTGGTGATGTCAAAAATTCAGCCATTCTATAAATAACGCTAATAATATTTATACTTATACGCTTGATTTTTTGAAAACAACTTTTGAAGTATATACATAATCATCCCTTAATTATCGCGCCAGAGGTATCTACTCATACGCCTTACCTTTTTTTGATATTAGTTCCACACTTGTTCTTCTTCTGGATCAACATAGCACAGACCCACTTTAATTTAAAGAGGGTTTGACAATAGCTACAATCACGGGTTAGGTACTTACTTTTTAAAACGTTATACTTGTATGCTTTATTTTTTGGAAATAATTTCCAAACCTATCCGTCTTCTTGGTGTCCGTCTTCTTAGTAAACGTAGCGAAGACGTGCTACCCCAAGAAGTTTTATCAATAATTATATCAAATATTGCGAGTAACAATGAGTCATCTCTTAAATAATACCAATGAAGTTTATACCCACTTAGGTAGGTACATTTCTAAATTGTTTTGTCTGAACTGAAGATCTACTGAATCATCTTCAAAGTTATGTAAATTTTTCCTTTGCACTGTCCTAGTTAATCCTTGAATTATTCTCGTTCATATTCAATTTTGCTTATATAATTATAACTTGATTCATGAATTCTTTCTTATCTAACTTCAGTACGGGTCAGTACGGGGACAAAATGGGATGGCTATTTATAGTATGGAAAAAAGATAACTTTGTGCGAGCAAAAGCCTACGAGATTTAAAAAAAACGTGTTGATTTTAATGTATTTTACAACAATTTTAACCAATTACTTATTTTGCATGTGTAGGTCATAAATCATGCGAGCCACGGCGCAATCTTCCACGGCCATACCTGTAAACAAACCCTTCAAGCGACACACTTATCGCAAGTGGCACATACCGAGACTCTGAAAAATGGTGAGCGAGTTTTTTGGCGGTGGTTTAATTGATCCACGTATGAGATCCCCAATTTGGCCCTTAAATTGTATACCAATGTCGATCAAATGTTTAAGTTCTTCCTTGGCTCCATCCCAGTGATCAATGTAAACGTTTGCTGCCTTGTAAACCTCGTCATCAATCTCTCGACAATCCAGGCCAACACCTACGGCTGGCAATTAAAAGTTTAGTATGTCGCGAGGGCGCTTTGGACTATTTAACGTAAACTTGTTGTCTACTTCGAATCGCTTTAACTATTACCATTAATATGGGCACTTGGCTTTAGCCAATCCAGCTTTACAATGGAAACATCTGTACCAGTCGTTGTTACTACAACATCGGCGTCCGATAAGCAGCTCTGAACAGTTTCGCAAGCTTTAAAGCTACACTTCCATTTGCTATCATTACTTAATTCAGTAACTAATCTCACTGCACGTTCGCGATTCCTATTCCACACACGTACCTAAAACGTCTCCGTTAGTAAAATTAGCACGTACTTGCATTTTATTGCTTAAATACCTCTTTAAATTTGAAGAAGTAACTCAAGCAAATTGCATGAATTCTACCCTGCGCCCCAGCGCCAATAATCGCCAAAATCTTATTATTCTCATTATGGAGGTACTTCGTCGCCACAGCCGACGCCGCCGCCGTCCTCCAGGCCGTAATTCCCGTGGCAGCGATGACCTAAAAGTATGCAATTCTCGAGCCCTTAAAAAGCAACCCTACCGCCTGTAGCTCGCCAGTTAACGCGTCCATTAGCAAAATGTTCGCCATTAGGGGCGGCAGAGTGGTGTTGCCCGGGAAGTGGCACGCAATTTTACATCCGAGCGTTTCGCCGTTGTCATCCCTCAATTTCCCGGGCATTACAAACATGAAGTTCGTCTCCTTGAGGTCGATTACGGAACGGGCGGACTGGATTACGTGGTTACTTGCAACGGACTCGAGCGCTCCCTCGATAACGTGAAACACTTTGTCCCAATCCAAAAGCTGGAGCACTCTATTCTCATTGATATGCAATAAGGCGCTCATTTTGGCAAGAAGACGCACCCGGTAACTTCACGTTTAGGGTGTGTAATAAACTGATACGAGGTTATCAATTGGATGATAACTGTAATCTCCCGCCTGCTCACGGTAGGTACGTAGACTAATCGACGAAAATGACAATAGAAATTGAGAGAAAGTAAACTTTCACTTTCCATGTGAACTCATGCCTTGCATAAGTATTAAAGCATGGTTTACACGCTACGATATATTGTAACAATTTATCGTAACAAACGGATTGTTACGATTTATCGTCGCGCGTATGAACCAATGATTGTGGCGATTTATTGGAATTGAAACTGAATTGGATGGTATTGATACTGGCCAGTTGGAACGTCTAAACAATATAACAGCGATTCGTCGCTACGATTTGTGACTCAGTTTTAGTTTTTCTTCACAATAAACGCTAAACTAATTATATGTTTCTTCATCTATTCTTAAATAATTCCGCCAGTCATTTGGTTCATTTCGCAATTCTTTCAGTAATGTTATATGGGAAAATTCCCTTTTCTTCAGCAACCACTGACAGATACATTTCCTTTTTCATCTTCGCGATTTTTTAATTTAATCGCTAAACAAACAATATAAACCGACCACAACAGTACTTCCTCCATGCCGAAAACCGTTTTAAGTAAAACTGTGTGCTAAACCATTGTTTAAACAATGGCTAAACCAACAATCGACAATGAAATTGGAGCAAGAAATAGTTACATGTAAACAGTACTCACACTTTCGATTTATTGGAACAATAAATCGGTCAATCGCATCATTACGATTTACCGTAGCCGAGATCGTAGCGTGTACACTACGCTTTAAAATATCAATTTATGTATTTCCCTTTGTGATGTTTATTTAAAGTAATCGAATGTTGAAAATGTGGATTTTTCCTGAAATATTGTAAAAATATAGATACCTCCTATGAGATCGTATCGTTTATATCAGTACTTTTATTTGCTATATCTGTATCATCAATTTTAATTTTTCTTCACAAGAGATAGTCTTGACATTTTAATTGAAATTCCCATAAAAGAAGCGGGATTGTTAATATCGGATGATTTCTCACATTAACATTTAATTTTTAAATTAATTTAAGTGGTACGTTATTAGTATATTTAAATCTGTGGTTATATACTCTTTGGTGGTATGCACTGGAGAACATTTCCTCCCTAGCCATAATCAGGTTGGTTACTTAAAAGTCACGTACCTAACTGATTATTTTATAAGTATAAGCAATTCAAAAATTAATATTTCTGCCGCATTGATAATTATTGCTTCTGCTGTAGGTAACTCTCTTTAAAAAAAGAAACAAAGAAAAGACCTTTTAGATTTTCTATTGTCACAGCAACTAGAAGTACTCAATCAGGGCAATGAACCCCTTATTTGTAACCAGGAACAAGAAAGAAGTCCCGGAGATTTCCTCCTCTCTTCGAGCCGGCAGAATAGTGGGATGGAGGGTCTCTGACGAGCCCTCTCTATCACGCCACAGAAAAATCTGCTATAGTATATAAAGGTCGAGAAACAAACCGAACATTCTTACCTATTACCTCGCACCTTCCGGTTCCACATCTGTGGCTAGAACTAACGGTAGTTCCGAGGGTAGTTCTAAATTAAAATGGGTAAGTACTTTTGGACTTACAAGTTCTTCCTTAATTTGGCGAAATGCTGTTTCGCATTCTTTTGACCATTCCCATTTTGCATTCTTGCGTATAAGGGTTGCCAGCTACGAAGACACATTTGGAAGAAACCTGTGATAGTAATTCATACCCGAATAACTTCCCTATCCCCTGTACCCATTGTACATCTTTAGGTTGAGGAGCATTTTTTATGGAGTCAATTTTCTCCGCCATAGCATGTGATCCCGAGTCATCAATCACATGACCCAAATAAATTTATCGATTTCTTGAGAAACTCATATTTCTTTTTATTCGAATGTAATAATAAGCCACTTGTACGTAACCTGTCTAAAGGTTTGTTTCAACTTGTTATAATGAGCTTTTCTTTGGTTGCTGGCAGCTCTTGTCTGCGGCGGCACAGGGGTTGGGTTTTTATATACAATTAAATAGAGAAGTCAGGTTAAACCTGACTTGACAGTTGGTTGTATTTGAATTGGGGACCACTTAGTTTTTGTAAAACTAAACAATATTCAACAATTAATATAAGTTAGTATACTGAATCTCAAAAAAACTTATATGATTGGAGCCATTAAATATAACAAAAAAATTAATTAATTGTGTAAATATTTGTATACATGTAGGTAACTATAAAACGGACTTAATCTAAACCAATATGCCAATATGCGTCCAGGTCCAGATTTTAGTGCAATAGACAGCTCCGCAAGCTAATTACATCATTAGATGATCAATCACGTGACAATAAATTATTTTTATTTCAAAATAACGCCTTACAATAAAACCCTGAAATGGACGTGTGAGAGAATGGAATAAAAAAATTATAACCTTACCTTATCAAATAAGGGTTTAAACTTAATGACCGTTTTAAACGAGCGAATTACACAATAATTAATAAAAATTACTTTCAAAAATGTCTCTTCACCTGAGAGTCACTCTATCAATCCGCTATTTTTCCCATTCTTTTCTCCCACACGCGTTATCAGTCAAGCCCTCTCAAAATTTTGTAAATATTCAAATTTAACCTTGTGTGGTGCCATCTGAATAACGAATTCGATAAATTGTTGCTCACGAAAAAACAACAAATGTATTATTCTCCCATTTTTAACTTTAATTATGGACACTTTCTAACTGGTCCATAAAACGCTGCCAACAGTTTGGTGCTATTTTTACTCCAAACGTAAGGCGTTTTACCTTGTAGATACCAAATAATTAATAAGTTTAAATAATGGATTGTACCGGTTGTAACATTGCAGTTTCTCTCTCGACTTCTATATACAGGTCAGTTTGACTAATGTCCAGCGAGCAAAGATATTTACTTCCTTCCCTTCCCCGAACGTGCTTATATTTATTGTGCCTTTATACCCAATCAGCACATATGTGTAGTTTCCCATTTTCCATTATTACTGGAACTACTGCAGAACCCCAGTTTTTCAATAATATTTGCTTTTTAGAGTCGTAGACTATCTTCTTCGGCACGACTTTTTAGTGAGTATGGTACGCTGATAGTACCTTCATTAAAATTAGTAAAACTATCTCGTTGCTCGTTGCTACCACTCAGTGGAAGTGAACTAATAGGTACCATTAGGTACATAGGCCTGGTAACTGGGACACTGCCACTTGAGTAGCTGAGGAGAGCACGTTTTGCCTCTTCTTTGAGGGGGAAGAGACAGTGAAACACGCATCATCTGCTGGATTTGAGCCGGACTTCCGGACTGAGATCACAAATCTTGGGTGAGGAACTGCAGTGGCATCTCGGCAGATCAGTGAGTTGCAGATGGAGAGGATCCTCGGATTAAAACAAACTGCGCCTCTCCCGGGTAATAACGCACAATAGATATATATCCAAAAGGCGTCATATAGCCCAACCCAAGGAGAAAAAAAAAACACTTATGCGGGCCCTACTACAATTGTTTACCACCTTTTTCTACTTTTTGCACCACCAATGCCAAGTAATAAGCATGTCGCAACAACCCTTTAGTAATATTTCGTCAAGCTTAATACGCCGGCCTTAAATTTGTTTAACTTTGACATACCTATTCACTTTCGCTACCTAGGTACTTCATTTGCGCCACAAATAGGTACCTGGGATAAGTATGCCCAACAACCCTATTTTCCATTCAGTTCAAAACTTCCTGAGCTTGCAACAATTAATGTTTGCTTTTAAAGTCCTATTTCTCTACTTCGTGCGCCACCAACCCCATTAGGTATAGTAAAGTATATTTATATCGCAACAACCCTCTAGCTATACCTACACATTTCCCATGGAAGTAATACACATTTTTTTCACCTTTTAAAATTGCCTGTCCCAACTTCTGGCTCTGCTCGCTAGGTACCACTACCTACCTAAAAATACTCATGTCGCAACAGCCTTCCATAAAGTTTAACACTTCTGCGTCCCCTACATTTTGCCATTCATTATATGTCTAATTGTCTACTTTTTCTATTGCTTGTGTCATCCACATCAGCAAGAATAGGCATGTTACAACCCCTCTAAACCATCTTCCATCAAGATCAAACCCTTCTGCTCTCTTTTACCACCTTTTACCGTCTAATTTTTCCACTTCTTGCGCCACCAATACAAAGAATGGGCATGTTATTACCATAACATCCTTTACCCTGAATGGATATACTTATAAAAATATCGCTTCCTGCAGTGAAAGCCAGTGCCAGAAGCCTTTCAAGAAGAATGACAAGTAAAATATGACATAATGAAACAATGATCTAGTGCAGATTTGATTTATAAAACATTGAAGATGGAGCAATGAATAAATTGGTTCAGTTGAAAATTAAATGTCCTGTGTGCAGAAAAAAACAAATAAGTTATTGTTGTCTGCACACAATTGAAAAACATACAAATAATAGTATCCAGCTCCAGCATAAATAATTTAGGTATAAACAGCTGAAGGATGTCATGGAAAGTTTGTGGCATCAACAGGAAACCAATATAAAATAATCTTAGACAAACAAACTTTTGACAATACCACAGAGGGGGTAGGTATAGTACTGTAGCCAATAAGTAATTCCAGTTTTGTGGAGCAAGTATTCAATAATTAGATACTGACTGATCTAACGAAATTGTAGATTTAATTATTAGATTTCCAACATTTAGAGTTTGGGAAAAATGATTAAAATGTTATCTAACGTTAAAGACTGGGGATGTTCGTTCTTATTTGGGGAAGGATGATGTCCTTTACCTTGAATTATTAGAAATAGGCATTTTTTGAAGCATGATTCTATTTTTTTCCAAGAACATATAACTTTTAATTGGTCTATCAGCCTAATGTCAATTCTATCTTGTAGTCAAATTTATCCTAGTAACTTTAGTGTCTCAGTATTCGATGAGACAATAATTATATGCTTTCCAATGTAGGTTAATCAACACAGCCATCGACATTAAAAGAAAAGAATGTGCATAAGTATCCCCCCTTCACATTCAGTTAGATCCATGTTGGTAAAATCATAAAAAAAATGAGAACAATATATATATTTATTTGGTCTTAAGTATAAAAATATCACAGTGCTTCTAAAATTAGAAATGTTTAGTTTAGCTTCAATTACAAGCACTTCTGTCATTTTCAGTTTGTCTTGTTAACAAAATTGTCTTATTGAATGAGAATTTCCAGAAAACATAATCAAGCTGAGTGTGTTTTGAAATGAAGTACTTCTACTAGCAACTACCTATGTCTACTATCACTCAAATGCTTTCTTTATGTACACTGGCATTGATCTCACCCCAAACATAGTGAATTTGCAAATATTTTGTGGGGTTTGAGATAAAACCCCCCACAACTATAACAAAAAGATAAATCCTATAAATACAAGTAGATTAAACTACATCAGTCGCAAAAATAAATATATTTTATCATTCCCGGAATTGTGACAGTACAGCACAAAGAGATTCAAACAAATGGTAAAAAGGAAGCCATTCGCTCCCATTTAGAGCTGGTAAGGGAAGACTACATTCTCACAGAATAACAATAAAATTACAGCTACCTATCTACATAAATTCTCAATTACCCTGTACATGTACGTCTTCATGGAGTAGCTGTACTGCACAGAATTCCCAGAATGTCATCAATAAATAAAATTTTAGATTCAATCGCCGAGTAAAAATAATAAATTAGTCTCGACAATTACAATTTAGGAAACTCTTTCAAAGAGCTCAGGTTTATAGGGTTCTTCTCCGTAGGGGTGTGAACATCCACCTTTCTAGCACGTACACCGCTACGTACAATGTCACACAAAGGCATAAGAGGACGGCTAGTAGCTACATTGTTGGGGGTGGACGATCTTGAAGCCGTCTCTGACAACTGTGGGGAGGATCTCACGCTCGACTGAATTGTATCACAGTTGAGAGCGTGCTCGATTTGGTCATTGCAATATCCATAACCGCTCTGGGTCTACAATGCAAAAATGAGCAACTTATTAACAAGGAAAGTGCTCACCAATCGTATCTCCTGCGAAATTTCGGATGTACGTTTTAAAAAGTCCGAGCCTTTAATGTTCTGCATCATGCGTCCTCTGCCAAAAGCTTTCACGGGCATTTGCTCCGAGTCGAAGTCGTCCAAGTCATACACGGATTTCACTACAGGCTTTCGAACGTGAATACTTGGAGCAGGTGGGTCTTTCACTTGCTGTCCGAAGCATGATATGGAATATAAGTCGTTTTCCATATCGTCATTGTCCGCCCAGCGTGTCTGGGTTTTGGAGGGGGCTGTAATGAAAGTAATTAGAAAGTGCAAAGGAAAACTAGGACTCACCCTTTGTTTGAGTGGTATTCTTTTTTGGCATATTGGAAGTGCTAAAAACACGAAACTAAACGAAATTAAAACGCTAAAATTGTGCAATTTTAATTACACTGCAAATAATGAGGACTTTCTAGTCATAGGTATGATTCACAAAGAAGAGAAATGGCGACTGACAGAAATTTGACAAGTTAAAAGTTAGGTCTTTCTCAGACAATGCGCAGGCGCGTTTACCATAGGCGTAGACAACGTAAGGACGAACGAAATGAGTGCATACGTCACAGATTCGACTACAATAGTCCTGTTTTCGAAGACGCATGCAAAAGAATTATAGAAAATTTACTTCCCCCATTGGTTGAAATGCAAAAAAAATTGTCAATAATTCTCATTCCCAAATAACCAGGAGGGTCGACACGTACATATTTTTGAGGAGGAGGGGGACGGGCTTCACGTATATCAAAACCTTTATACATTCATAAGTAACAGATGAATTAGGCTGAAATTACAATTACCACTGATCCATACAAAATTCATCATCAAACACGAAAGCCGAAGATATGCCAGAAAATCCCAAATTTGCCGAGTTTGTTTTCATTTTTTTTGTGAGGATATTTGAACAGACAAAAAAATAAAAAAATACTTTCTCATTGCCACTTTTTGGGCCCTACAAAACACCGTTAAAAGATTTTCAATACAACGTTTCGTTTCAGAGAAATCATTATCAACTATGATAATAATAATAATGGCTGCAGGGACACCATCATGTTAGTAATACATAGCAACCTATTCCTGCAGAGGCAGATCTTTTCTGTTACATGAACAACAATATTACGTAAAATTTCTGCATTCAATTTTTTTGAAACACATGGAAACACAATATCTTACTATTTTTCAATGCATTAAAACTCCAGCATTCTTGAACGCGTTCTTCTCGATTGAAAAAAGGATTTTGATCGCACCAGCACCAGTGGTAATGAAAACGTGTTTTTTATTTTGTTGTATCTTTTTTAAATAACATCAGAAAAAAATTAAAAACAAAATCGGTGGTTTATTTTGAAATTTGGAAAAAATAGTTTTGAATATACACGTTTTTTAACATGATAAATCAGTGTGTTGTATCCTCGCTAATAAAGATTTTTCGACATCTGTCTTCTCCCTTTTCTTTAATGGTGCTAAAATATTTTGTTGTGTTTTCTTTTGCTCAACGACTTTTATCTTTATTGACGAGTTCACATTTTTTCGGTGTCCGTCCGTCGGCCCGGCTGTCCAACTTTCTGTATGTTCGTCTGTCCTTTAGTACATTATCTCAAAAACGAATGGACCAATTACGATGAAATATTGCAGGTGGATTCTTTATCAAATTTGTATATCGGAGTTCGTGAATTTTGCAATATAGGCCAAAAATTAAGGGTTGCTCTTTTGACATCTCCGTTAGTTATGAACCGAATTTCATAAAATTAAAAATGAGCATAGGTTTGGCCATATAATACGTAATTTCAAGTTACATAATAATTTGTTTAATATTCTTCTTCATTTCCTTCCCCACCAATTTGTTTTCCTGCATTGACTCTTCTTCCTGCCTGTTTTACAGCTGATGATGGGCCTGTTGAACGTCGATTTGCATAAATTATGAATAAAAGCCGCCTTTATATCTCAAATCATTTCTTGCTTGTAATTAATTTCACATTAATTTAAATAAATTTTAGTAAACGATGGGGGTTCTGGCGCAATGTATTTCTTATGGAAGATTTTTTGAACGAAAACTCACTATGTTGGTCTGATCTTGATTGCGGTGTTTTTTTGGGGGGTTGTACATTGTGAATGGGGTTGTAGATGTGTTTATTAGGGAGTGGTTGTGTTAAGACCAGTAAGAAACAAAATTACTAGTTTTTGAAAAGGGGCGGCGGCGCTAGGGTTTCCTGTTATTTTAGTAGAGGGTGACCTTATGATTTTCCCTGTTATTCTCCATTGTAAATCGTTTATTTAAAACGTAGTAGTTTGTGGTTGCGGTTTCCTGTTATTTACTAGATTAGTTTCTTGTTATTTCGGTGCAGGAGTGACCTTGCATTCCAGATTGTTGACATGAGTGGACAATTCAATGCCATTGCAATACAATTATCAGGTATGTTATTGTTATATGACAATGACTACTCATCAATTTGGCGTCGATATTGGAACTCAAATTAAACACTATTCGATTTGCTTATGTGGCAAACAAAAACCTTCTGAAACATTTTCCAATCATATTTCCCGGAAGGGATGCGTCACATTCGTTTCTTATTACCGGTGACCAATTCTTTATCGAATTGTTTTGGGGTCTAGATTTCTAGAATACTTGACGTGCCCCAACAATTACACCCCTCCAAAGCACATGTCTATACGAAATACGATCAAATTTGCTTATTAAAAAATTAAGTAGGTAATTTAAAATCTGCGAAGTGGTATATTTTCATTCGCCTTTGAGGGTTTATAGTGAATGTTTTGAACACTAAGAAAACAAAAAAAATGTAATGTATCGCAAAAATTATACCCTTTTGTTGTTTTTTTTTAGGGTATGGAGAGACGCGATTATCTTAAACTAGATAATTTGTGTCATGGGGACGAGGTTTTAGGTGGTGGTAAAAATTTTGAAATCGTAGAAAGAAAAGATGATACAGGATAGCTCGAGCTATGAGAAAGTGCCCCAAAAATTAAGTAGGTACTATTTTGTGGAGGATTTTTACCGAAATCCATTAAAATGCGAATTGAATCTTACTGATGTGAAAACTTCAAAAACGTGAATTGCGGGTGAACGGGACGTTGAAAGTGGGTACCGACAATTGACAAAAGGAATGTGGTTGCCTTCGACAAGATCTTATATTGATGGTGGAGTCAAAAGTGACTAATAGAATGAATCTGCCACACAAAAATGCGCTGAAGTCCCTTTAATCTCACACGAGGACTTTGATAATTTTTGTATTGCGTTATGAATTGCAACTTTAGGGATGTTTCTTAAATTCCCAATTATAATTCAGGATTTGTAATTAATCCTGGGAAGTTGGTGTAAAACCTTTTTCGTTTACAGGCCGTGAATTTTTATCAATGGCCGGTAATTGGCTTAATGGCCTCTTACGGGGTGAAGTTAATTATGAATGTAATTATAAAGAAACTTTTAACGCGCTACAGCATACGTATAGGTTTTAACAACACCTGCCGTATATCAGTTTTCACTTTTCGGGGTGTAACTGGATCCAATATTTTTTTACCCGACTTAGGGTGTGTTTTCACATTAACTCACAAGCAGAACATAGTATCTGTAAGTTCTTAACACTTCTTCGGGTCCGGTAACTTTTGACAGAATATTTATGGTTTTATGGTTCCACCACTTTTTACGTTGACTCCCGGGTTGTAAATTTTGTCCAAATTGCTTAAAAGTCTACATATTGTATTAGGGGTTGGGGCGAAGGCGAAGCGAAGCTAATTGGAAGTTGCTAAGACTTTGTACACTGGGCAAATGATTATTTTCAACCCTTATGGAAGTAACTCACGGTCGCAGGTAAAAAGGGATGGAATATTTTCACTATACTGGATGACATTACAATGAAATGCAAAAAATGAAAAACTTGATCAATGTTTGTATTTATTAACTGACGTAAGTAGAGTAAGTAGGTATAAACAAGGTAAATGTCACTTACTAATAATATCCGATAGAGACGATAGAAAAGTTAGATCAGAAAATAAGCCACTGCTCCAATTACAGTTTTGTGACATATGCAAGTATTGCAGTACCTATTTTATAATAATCTTACGCTTAATTGACATTTTTTGTGAAAGATAATGACTACTATCAGTTGGGCAATTCGCAGTACAGCATAGTCTGCATAGTGAAAGAATTATTTACACTACGGTAATAGAATGCCATGCGTTTTCTTTTCTAGTGGAAATAGAAAAACTTCCTGCATTCCACAATTCCTTTTTTCAATTCAGTTTTTGCAATCTAGCGTAATTTTACTAGTTTCGCAAGACTTTGGTTATATTCAAGGGTGCAATTAAGGTGGATGTAATATAGTTCATAATTGCTAGGGAAGGGGAACTTTAAATCAAAAAGCAGAAAAAGCACACCTTTGAAGATTCAGGTAAGAGACATTGAAATCCCAATTGGAAATATGTAAAGTGGTAGCCTACTCACGAGAGATAGGCAACTTATCTAACTGCCGTGTAATACTTTTCACCTGTATCACAGACATTCTTTGAGTATTATTATGTGTCTAAAGATGGAGGGACAAACTATCGGACATAACGCAAATAATACCACAGGTTTTTTACTTCGTTACACGCGAAATTCAAATCATCACTTCTAAAGAATCACCCAGTATAAGGTTCTTGGAGACTATTATATACTTTTGAAGTACCTATTTACTACAGATATAATCCATCTTTTTGTATGTGATTCATGATTTGTACATCTGGCAACTGTAGAGCTTTTAAAATTCTGATTCAGTTGGAGAGGTGGCGACTTTTGGGGATGCTCTACTCCCTTATAAATTCCTAAAGACCGTACGGGCTCCTAAGAACTTATTCAACGTTATTCATGGTTTTAAACCATATATTTAGAGTGATATTTATTAAGAAGGAGACATAGAGATGAAGCGAATGGCGACAAAGAATGAAGTGCGAATTCTGGATTTTGTTATTAGGGCATTTAGTAAGCGACTGGGTTTAAAGCTTATCTACACTCACTCTACACCCTCGATATAAAGGTAGCTACTTGTTGGATACCACAACTGGTTGGAAATGACTAAGTAATCACTAATCACCCTTAAAGAACCAGCTTTCAACATTTCATTGAGGAGTCGGCCAATTGTGACTACTGCTATTATCAAGAATATCTACTTCCACTGCTGCAATTCATTTATGGGCCTACCAATTGAAGGTTTTTATAATAACAAAGTTATAAATGAAATGTACTTTTAATGCAGAGTTTGGAACCATGCTTTTGGCCCATATTTATCAGTATAAATTAATTAACTTAACAGAAAATAAATCTCTTACACTCCTTAAACCGTTACCGGCACTATACCAATTGACAATATCAACTTTTTCTTCAGTTGAATACATTGCACACGAACGAAGATAAAAATACGGAAACCAAAGCAACAATTTCAAATTTATCAATGTGACAGTCAGATCTTTATTTTGATTTAAGAAGTTATTTTAGTTGCATAAAATTAGGCACCCTTCAGAAGAGATTTTGTCATTTATAAGTAGACAAAAACAATACACATAAATCCTATGTCTACTTCTTAATAAATAGCACTTTAACGGCCAGTTGCACAAAAAGAATACTCCAGGATTATTGTTTAATCCGGTATTAAGACATTTGATTGGCTTTATATTGCAGTAGGCAGCCAATCAAATGTCAAAATTCTTGTTTAAACTCAGATTTGGCAAATTAAGTACGATTTTGATTATAATTCGCTTTCCTGCAACCGGCCGTATATGAATTATTTTAAAATTCAGACATTTAAGAGATTTTGAGAACCTTTAATAATCTGTAAAGCTTTTTAGAAGGCTTTGGAAGACTTTGAGAGCCCTTAAGGAGCTTTCAGAGTCTTTAAGAATTATTGAACGTCTTCAATGTCTTTTAAACATACTTAACACGCTTTAAGGGTGTGTATGAGGCTTGCCTTGTAAGGTTTTTAAGAGTCTTTTAAAGAATGTTTTAACGGCCTCCAAGTGTTTTCCAGAAGGTTTAAGAATCTTGCTTTTAAGAGCGTTTGAGAGCTTTTATAGTTATTTATGTATAAAGGCCATTATGAGGATGCTCCTTAGGGGATCTCAAAGTCTTTAAAGACCTCTTGGAGTCCATTGCGGATTCTGGAAAGCCCTTTAATACTTTTTTGAAACGGTTGAAAGGACCATTAATTGCCCTTAGAGGTTTAAAAATAGCCTCAAAAGTTGAAGATTTTTAACGATTATTGGAAGCTTTTACGGACCCTTAAGGATTCTCAAAAGCTTTTAAATGTCTGCTTGATACTCTATGAGTCACTATAATGCTCACCAGGATACTAAAATGTCTTGGAGAAAAACACCTGGTCACTAATGAAGACTTTTTAATGCCTATCTATTTAAAGACCTTAAGGTTTGATAAAATCTTTAAAGTTCTGAAAAGTCTTGGAATACCTTTAAAGACTAGAATTGTAGAACACTTTAGAAAACTCCAGAAGCGTCTTGTCCCAAGCAAGTGACCAAGAGTTTAAGTGGTTCGTTTGGGATCTACGGTAACGCATCTGCACGGAGAATGGTGTCTTTCAGTCAGAATTTAAAGATCTTCACTACACGTTTGACAACCTTGCAAGAGTCATCGATCTTCCCGCGACCTTAGAACCTTTAGGAGCTTTTAAGAGCATGTAATAGTGTTTTACACTATTAGCCAGCTAGGTGAGTTTTTAATTGTTCTTGAGAGTGTTTCTAAGCCTTTAAGAACGTTTAATATCATTTATTGATGTTCTAGAACCTTCATTAGTCACCAATTGTTTCCTCTTCAAGTGTTTTTGGCGATATCCACGGCCTTATAGTGGGCTCTAACAGTCCTTTAAGGACTTTTGGAGTCTTTAAAAGCTTTTCATACCTTAATACCGAAACTTCGAGGAGGGTATCTATTTAAGAGTTTTAAAAGTTCCCAAGAGTCTATACAAATCTACTAAAGGCTTTGAAAGGCCTGCGAAAGATTCCAAGGGGCTTCTAAATCTGCAGGATACAAGCAGAATTAAGATTTTCTGTTAATTAAAAGTGTCCTAATTTTGACAGTGAAGCTGTGGTTGAAAACAAATTTGTGACAGCTTTAGTATATTAGTTATATTAGGCACGATTTATTACAAATCACGCACTCCATCATCATAAAAAAGAGCAAACGATAGATAAAATATTATGGCGTAATAAGTTCCGGCCATTTTAATATCCGCTCTATAATTTACTTAATGCTCAATTTCACGAAATTTCCGCCTATACACCTCGATATTCCACTAGCGTCGGATCGTCGCGACGCTTATCCTTGGACATTGAAAACTTGTTGCGCGTGTTAATTGAACGGGATTTATTGGCATTTTCGACAAGCTACACTAAACTGTAGGTCTCGCCAAAGACTACGTTTTGAAAATGGAATCTGTAGTAAAGCTGGCCGTTATTATAACAAGCGTACGGTACAAATAATGCGGACAGATCGAGTTCCGGCCAGTAAATTGCAATTTTTTCCAAAAAACACTGGTAAGTCTTCGGCAGTCTGTGCCTTCGTCTTACAACGGTGGCAAACTCCGAATCTAAGGAAGCCTCCTGATCCCATTCGCCCTTAGTTTTGCCTCTGTTGCTACTCGCCGCACCCCCCTTTCGCGTGCCTAATTTGCCTTTTTGAGCGCTTCGTTCTTTACGTGTCTTTAGCGTTGTTGCTGCACTTCTCTTTCCGCTTGCTGCTGCACTCCTCTTTCCGGTTGTTGCTGCACCCCTCTTTCCGGTTGTTGCCGTACTTCTCTTCCCGGCTTTTGCTGCACTACCCCTCCCTCGGTGGCCTTTGTGAAATTTCCCTGCTCCGTAGTAACCTCCTTCGCTGTCCTCCGTGTCCGTATCTCGCGCCATTTTCTCCTTCTCCTTTGCCTTCCAATCACGTAACGCCTCACTGTAAAAGGCAACCTTGCACGGATGCCCCCATTTCTCCCGAGCATTGCTCAGTAAATTACACTCCTCCGAGCAGAAATACACCACCTTGCATTTCGGACATCTGAACAACTGGCGGTTCTGTTTCTTGTGGCAGTGATAGCAAACGTCATATTTATCTGAGTGCCTCTCCACCTGGGGCTGCGGCAAGTCTAAAAACCCCAGCTTCGGTGGAAGCTTGCGGTAATCAAAGTTCTCCAACGCCTTTTCGACGTCTAGGTGACTTTTCGGATGGACACCAGCTATAAACTCCACCAACTCGCGTAATTTGCTGTGACTTTTGGGTTTGACTCGAATTTCCCCTCTGTAAAACAACGCCTGGGCGAGATCGACGACTTCAGCCACAGGAACGTAGTGAGCCATATTTTTTGCAAACTCGTCGTCGTAATTTTGAGCGTGGTACAGTTGCTGCACCACCCAGCCTTTAATGTGCTTGTCAAGTACAAACCTTGCGATGTTTTCCAAAAAGGCTTTGAGTTTGACACGCGTGGTTTCTTTTCCCCCTTTAACCTGTTTAGGTTTCCGTTTGCCCTTTGGCGTTGGTTCAGCGAACTCTTCCGCCATAAATTCCATAAGATTCCCACACGGGCCAGTAGAATTAAAAGGATTGGCACCGTAATACACCAATGATTGGATTATCTGCTCACAGTCTTCGTACCGCGGCAGATTCGTGTAGCGTTTCAGTATCAAAACGCCGAGTGCAACTCCCATTTCTTCTCCTAGCAATTGATTAGGATCTACTTTTCCACTCTCCATCAGCGAGTTAATCAGCTTAATATTCCCCCTTAAAACCGCCAAGGATAGGGGAGTGTGTCCTAAGTAGTACTCGCTCGGTTTGGCTCCACCAGCAATTAGAATTTGAGCTAATTCTCCAATGGTGTCGGAGGTAAAATCGTAACGCATCGACAGTAGGTGCAGGGGCGTTTTTCCTTCATCGACTTCTGTTAGTTGGTGCTTCCCCACGAGCGTCTCCTTCTCCTCCAGCCAGTGCAATGTGGTGGCTCTCAGATTGGGATTCGCGCCGTATGCCAGCAAAAGCTTGGCCATTTCGCCTACCCCGTCCCAAGGAGGAAGCGAAACTAAGATGTGCAATGCTGTCAACTCTTCATCCAGCGTGCGCGCGTTGCAGTCGGCTTTGTGCGCCAACAACCCTTCGACAATGTCAATGTTTTTGGTGAAGATAGCTGATAACAATATCGGCATGGGTACCTCACCTTCATTGGGATCCGCCCCGTAATCTAAGAGGGTCGATATAGTCAAGCGTATTGAATTTAAACGCTCGACTTGCAAAATGTCGCTATGATTCGGTTCTGACTCGACTTGAACGACCAACTTTTTTTTCGGTTGAAGTGTTTTAGTTTTAACTGATTTATGTACTGGTGGCTTAATGCAGTCGGTGTTAAATAAAAACGGTTGCGCTTCCTCTAACTGCAAATAACGGTCTTGTAAGTTTTTCGCATCCGAAGTTCTCTTAAACATCATCTGCATCGGAAACAGATCAGCGCTGTCAATCAGTTCTTGCCTATTGCAGAACTTCAGGTTGATTGAGCTGTGTGGGTTCAAGTTTTGCTTCGACTTCTGTTGTTCGGATAGACTCACCAACGACTCGTGAGGCCTCCACCGCAACAAGTCAGTTTCCACCGCTAGCGACGACTTTAAAAACGCCAATTCCCAATTGACCACGTCATTCTGCACGGCTAGGTACCGAAGGATGCACAGTGATAGCGGTGTCAGGCACTCGTCGTTATAGACATCCACGTTTGCTCCGAAATTCACCAGCACCCGGATTATCTGGCGACGATCGCGCGCCGCCGCATACATCATTCCTGAATTTCCCATTGCATCGCACATATCCGGGTTGAGATCGTGTGTCAGAAGCAGTTCGGAGACCTTCTTCAAATGGCCACTAGAGCAATTGGACAAAAACGCAACGCAGTCCGCCTCGTATGCGCTAGATTGGTTGAACTCAGTGCGATTGCCTACTAAAACATTGGAGGCAAGGTACGACACGGTCTTCTCAAAGTTGCGGTGAAGAAAAGCGTGCTTCATTATCTCGATTGAAATGTCTTCATTGTTCCACGCAAGAAGTTCGGTAACCAGCACTTTTTTTGTACGTGGTTTCGAACGCTCAAAGGAAATTGCACCTTCCAACAGATCTCTTTTAGCACAAAGTTCTTCCATGTCATTCTCCTCTTGTTCAGATGATCCTGAGACGTTCTCTTCAGATACACCTTCGAGAATCGCACTGTTTATTCTGTCCCACTCACTTTGCAGATATTCTACATTTTTTGCACGTTCAATCTCTCTTTCCACGTCACAGATGGACTCGTCAGATCCCACTGTGATATCAATGTAGCAATCGCTCACCGAAAAGAACTTTGAATCATACACCGCCCTATTGAAGAACGTACTTTTCGGATGCCGAATGCACCTGTTGTACAGAAGATCCGATTTCTCGATCACCTCCTCTTCGGCATTTATTGATTTTAGCACTTCTCGCGCTATGTCCTCCTCCCCATTGCACACCGTTACTAGCTTCTTGTACCGCAAAAGTATCGCCTTACCAACTGATGTGTGCGCAACTTTGGGTACCCATTCCGGTTTGACAACCTGACAAAGTCTAATTAAGTTATTGCCATACCACAAACCGACGGTTTGAGTTGAATCGACGAAACTGTCGACGCCCGGCCCAAAGCGGGCGTTATTCTTGAATAGGCCCTCAAAAACTGTACCGTCCGGCCGAACGAATCTGCCGTACCCTTCGAGGTTGGAGGAATAGAGCGATCCCTCGTAAATGGTTTCCTCTCCGTTTCGGCTCCAGATGTATTGACCTTGACCGTGTAGGGTGTCGCGGAGAAATTGACCTTTGTACTTTTGATGGTTTGGCGTCCCATCTTCGAACCAAATTTCTTCGCCGGCACCTTCACGTTGATTATTGACCAGTGGTCCAAGGTATTCAGTTGTAAAGAGACGAACATTTGTTTCCGCTGCTGTCATGTCGCAGTTTGACGGAACTGTCATAATGACAATTAAGTAAATTATGTAGAGGGTGTTTGAATCAAATGTATGGATCCCTCTTCTGCAGCTGCAGATCTGATTTCAATTTCCCGTCATTTTGTACTCAAACTTAATTGAAATGAACTTTGAAAGTGTGCTTTATGCAATAATCGAGTTGAATACTGTAATTGAATTAGTTTTCATGACATATATGAAAGTCCGTTACTTAGCAATTGGCCAAAGTACCGGATTGGCGTATTTTGAAATCTTAATTGGCTTCGAGAAAGTAGGCAATTCTGATTGATTTCACAAAATAAAAGTCATGAAAAAGACACATTACTGGCGAAGAAATATTAAAGTATGAGACCCCTTTGGGACTTAGTAGTTTAATTACCGAGTTAAGTAATGTTATTTTACTGACGAGTTTTACCCGAAATCGTATGTAAAGATAAAATTTTAATTTTCATATAATATAATAATGATTAATGTCAATCTGTCAGTGGTGACAGGTGTCATTATAGTCATTACCAATGTGACATGTACCGATGGAAAAGAGACAAGTGCAACCTGTAAAGTGACAGGCGGCAGGAAAAATAGTCTGGTCTGCCTCTGTCATGGAAACAAAAATTTCCTGACAGTAGTGACAGTAGGCATGATATTGAAGGTTTCATGACGATTTTGGGTAAAAATATCTTAATAAATACAAAAATTGGATTGCGCAAATAGAAAAGTTGGGTTGCACGTGCGCAATTTTACTTTATTTATCTGCATAGTTGGTTGAGATTTGAGGAACATTTACTAACACAGAGACCCGGACATTTATGTGTTCTTTGTAACAAGATAAAAAAGAAACCCGTATTTTGGAAGTTTGGAGAGTTTTTGGGCTGTAACTTTTTCTGCCTTTAGTCCACGTAGCTTCTTATGTCCTTACGACCATGTGTACCAATTCAAAGGGATCGGACGTTTCTAAACAAAGTTATCCTGCACACAGACAGACGGACAGACAACAATACAAACTTATATACGATCTCGAGGATCGTTAATAGTTCAAATAATTTAAACCTTGGTAGCGAAATCTTCAAAAGGATTGGAAGGTGTAAACAGAATGCAAAGTACTCATATGAAACCATGCTACTTAAAATTTTACTTCGAAAGGCAAAAATTTATAACTTCTTCCAAATTTGATAAATATATCTTCCCCATGAATTTTATTGTTGTAGAAAATAGTAAATGCGACTAGTTTCGCCAATAAGGCATCTTCAGGCGTTAATTATAAATGAGTTGTTTAAATTATGAAACAATTGGTGTGAATACACGTTTTTGACAGGTGTTGAATTTAATGGAGAACAATATTCGGAAACAACATAATCATAGCCCTCCGGGCACGTAAAATTGAGACAAAACAACTAATTAATACAGTGAAGCCGAAGTTGCGAAAACATAGTTTCAGGGTCGGTTAAGACGAAACCGAAACATTTTAAAACGGAATTAATGGGGAGGTGAATCAGGGTCGTTTAAGCCGAAACTGAAACATTTTAAAACGGATTAATGGGGAGGTGAAAACGTGTTTCATAATTTAAAAACGTGTGTTCACACCAATTGTTCCATAATTTAAAAACGTGTATTCACGCCAATTGTTTCATAATTTAAAAAACGTGTATTCACACCAATTGTTTCATAATTTAAACAAGTCATTTATAATTAACGCCTGAAGATGCCTTATTGGCGAAACTAGTCGCATTTACTATTTTCTACAACAATAAATTTCATGGGGAAGGGAAAGTATATTTATCAAATTTGGAATAAGTTTGAAACCCCATTTTGAGCGTACAAGATGGATCCCGGTTTAGCAAAATTTATAGCATGAAGAGTACATTCTAAATAAGGTTTACATTTTTGGTGATAAGAATTGCGTAATAAATTTCAACACGTGATCCTCGAACGAAATTTCTCTAGTTAACCTTAATTTTGTATTCATAATTTTAAAATTTGAAGGGTGAGAATGTAATTTAACGCAGAAATCTGCAAAAAGAGATGTAAGACGTAGTAGATAAGTCACAGCTGGGTAAAGAATGTATTGCGTTTTTGCGAAAATCAATGAACAAATGCTGATAAGAGGACGTTATCAAAGTGAAACTAAATTTACGTGAGATAATAAGGTGCAGGTGTGCAGGTTTGGGATAAGGATATGTATTTAAACAAGTGTACGAGCAGGTGTTCGAGGCTGATCGGCTTTTACCGAGGATTAAATAAAAAAAACATAAACAGCTCAAGAAAAAACTCTGAAACTACCCAGTCAAATGACAATACATGAACACCTAGGACCAATAAAGGAACAAATTGAATCTAATCCGCAAAAGTACATATTAAAATACGACGATTTTGCGAATCTATCGAAATGGTCAAATGGAACCACTGAAAACTGTAAACAACTTCACTAAAAACTACTATGGACTGAAATAGCTATTTATGCACCAAGGGCGTTACTAGGATGATTACGCCCGGAGAACGATGGAATCCAGCTCGAGGGCTTTAGCCCGAGAGCTGGATATCGTTCGATGGGCGTAATCATCTGGTAACGTCGCCGTGGTGCATACAAGATTTTATTTTTCACTTTATTCTTAAAAAACAATCCAAAATTAGTTACTTGCTTTCGCTGAGGCAAACGCGTTCTTTCCGTAAATACAATACAATAATATGGTAGTCTATGAAACAAAATAAACTGTTTACTTAGAAACGTCAAGTTTGATTTCCAATTGCAATAAAGATGAATACGCTACCAAAATTTGTTCAAGAAAATGCGCAAAAGGCAACAGAAACTTTGCTACCCCTTAAATCAAAGGAGAAGTACGAAAAAGAATTCGAAACATTTACAGCTTGGCAATCAAAACATAAAATATTTACTATAAATGAGACCGTGCTATTGTCGTACTTTCAGGAACTGGTAAGTTTTACATATACCTACCTAAATATGCAAAATTATTGATTGTTTTAGTCTGAGAAATACACTCCTACGTCGCTATGGACCAAATACTCTCTTTTGAAATCAACTTTCATAGTTAAAAAGAAAACTGACATTTCAAATTATAATCAACTAATTTACTTTTTAAAAGTCAAATCGAAGGGATATAAACCAAAAAAATCACAGGTTTTAACAGGAGATCAAGTTTTTGAGTTTATCAAACGTGCCCCTAACGATATTTATCTTTTGCATAAAGTAGTTTTGGTGATGGGTGTTTTTGGTGGATTACGAAGGGATGAAATGGTCAAAATGTGTATTGACGATATCACCGATAAAGGATATCTGTTGTAATTGTAAACGTGCCAGAGACTAAAACAGGTACGTCTAAAGGTTTTACAATCGTGGAGGAAGAAGAAATAAATGCTCTTAAGTTAGTTCGACAATACCTAGCACTAAGACCAAAGCATACGAAAGAACGCCGATTTTTCCTCACATATAGGAAAGGTTGTTGCACAGTGCAACCTGTCGGAAAAAACACCATAGGAAGTGTCCCAAATATAATTGCCAAATACAAAGTTAGATAACCCTCATCAATTTACCGGTCACTGCTTGAGACGAACGTCAGCCACTCTTTTGGTTGAAGCAGGAGCAAGTTTTGAAACCCTGAAAATGCACGGCAAGTGGAAGAGTAACACGGTTGCGCAGAGTTACGTAGAAGATAGCCTCATTTCCAAAAATCGGATATCTTGCATTATTGCAAGCGCGGTGGGTTCATCTGGAGGCAAAACCTCGAATAATGTTAACCTTACATCATATTCAGATGATCACTTGGAACTGTCGTCATCCATATCGGATAAAAATATAAACGTCCCTGGCCTTTCTAACAAAAATATTACATTTTCGGGAAAGTTTGAAAATTGTAATTTTCATATTGGCGGGTAATTGTGCTTTCTTTTGTATTACAAGTATTTAGTTTGACTTAATAAAAAAAATTGAACGAATATAATTAACCTATTTTGAGGGCGTAATGAATTCATTACGCCCTCTCATTACGCCCTGGTTGTTATGGACTTGTTTACGTATCCCGTATCCAAGGAGTTACCATTGAATTACAGTAAAGTGAAAAATAAAATATGTTGTACTCTCTATACCTAAGTCTACAAAATAGAACCATCAAAGCCAGATTTACAAAACTTATAAAATTACTAAACCAACTCTGCTTCCACATCGAAACTCCAAATCCCTCAATAAAATTCAATCCATCAATAAGTAGGTACCTACAATACTGCTGCAATGGAACAGCAATGGATTTTTCTCAAAATATGAAGAAATTAAACAACTAATAGTCTTACATAAATCGACTGTAATATGCATTCAGGAAAGTCACCTATCTTCAATAAAAACTGCCGAAGTTAACCACTACACGTGTTACAGAAAAGACTACCTTGATGGACAACAATCGTGTGGGGGCGCCATCTCACTTATCAACAACAATTTTTACTCAGAACAAGTCCTCACCAAAACTCAACTACAAGTAGTAGTAAATAAAACTAAAATAACACCAGGCGATTTACTAACAATTTGCAACATTTACATACCGCCCAACCATGACCACAAATAGTGCGAAATAGACGACCTGATCAAACAACTTCCAAAACCATTTATTATCATGGGAGATTTCAATGCCCATAATCCCCTTTGGGGCTCAAGTAATTACAATGAAAAGGGAGTAGTAATAGAAGAAATCCCTAATGTAACAATAATAAATAACGGCAATCCTACCTATATCAACTTATCTAACGGAAAAAAATCAGCTATCCACATTACCATCATTATTAGGTGTCCTGGAATGGAAACCTTATCAGGATTTATGTTTTTCGGACCACTACCCTATAATAATAAAATTCCCACAACGACGTACGACAAAGGATCATATTTTCGAAACCGACCATTGGAATTTTAAGACTGCAGGTTGGAATAAATATCAAAAATTGGCAGTATTTCAACCACCTAAAAGAAACAATTTGGAAAAAAATACGGTAATAGGTGAATTCAACGACATTATACTAAAGGCTTCTCAACAATCAGTCCCAAAAGCTTCGAGCCCTCGAAATCGAATTGATGTGCCTTGGTGGAACCAAAACATTAGGGAAGCAATAAAAAGTCAAAAAAAGGCACTTAAAAAACTTAATCAACACAACAATATCGAAAACTTAATTAACTTTAAGAAAGCTAGAGCTAAAACCAGGAATCTAATAAGAGAACGCCGGAAAAAAACGTGGGCAGATTTTGTATCTAAACTGAACTCACAAACTCCAAGTAATGTATTATGGAATAATATACATAAAATTAAGGGAAAGCGAACCTTTAACCACATTTCTGCTATAAAAACAAACAATAAGATTATCAATGAGAATGACCAACAAGAAATAAGCGAACTATTTGTAAAATACTTTTCTACCTCTTCGAATACCTTGAACCCTTCGTTTTCCCAAATTAAACACGAAACGGAAAAGACGGAAGCCGTTTTTGGCACAGGAGTAGGCGAAAGTTACAACACTGAATTTACACTATCAGAATTTAACGAAGCCTTAACAGAACTAAAAGACTGCGCGCCAGGATCCGATAAAATTCACAGCCAAATGATAAAAAACCTACCACTTGAATTAAAAAATATCTTCTACATCTACTAAACTTAATCTGGAAGACAGGAAATATTCCCGCTAATTGGAAAACCGCAATAATAGTTCCAATAGTAAAACCAAATAGAGACAAGTACCTATTACATAATTACAGACCAATACCCTTACCAGCAATGGCGGTAAACTCCTACAAAAAATGATAAACAAAAGACTTATGTGGACTTTAGAGGATAAAAAACTATTGAATATGTCACAGACGGGTTTTCGCAGGCGAATGTCAACACTGGACAACCTTGTCATATTACAAGCAGAAATTCTAAACGCCTTTACTTTGATTTACAGAAAGTCTACGATTCCATATGGAGACACCGAGTTTTTAGCATTCTAAAAAAATGGGGTTTTCGTGGCAATTTACCGAATTTCATCAAATCTTTTTTAAAAGACAGAGAGATTAGAGTTCAAGTTGGAAACTATTTATCAACTGTCCACATACAACCGACAGGAATACCTCAAGCGTCTACCTTAATCGCAATCAATGATATTTTAGATAACCTACCACTTCCCATTCTCTCATCAATATATGTAGACGAGTTCACAATGTGTATCAGAACGAAAATATCTTACAAAAAGGACTTGATAACTTGGAGAAATGTTCAAGTGAAACTGGCTTTACGATTTCAACGGAAAAAACCATATGCATAAACTTTAATAGATTGCGCAACGTCCATAACCCACGACTCATTTTTAACGAACAACCTAGGAACCTAGGTACCTAGGAATGACACTCGACAGCCGACTGACATATCACATCTGTAAACTTAAAACAGAATGCTTAAAAATAATGAACATAATGAAACGTATAAATAATAGCTCATGGGGTGCAGAAAAACACTTCTGCAAATTTATCGTTCATTAATAAGATCGAAAGTGGACTACGGAAGCATTGTTTAGAAATTATAACTCCGCAAGTGTCACCCAAATAAATAAATTAAATTCCATACAGAACAACTGTTTACGGATAGCTACTGGAACTTTCAGAAGCAGCCCCATTTCAAGCTTACATATTGAATCAGCTGAGCTACCATTAGACTACAGAAGACAAAAACTACTACTTAATTACATACTAAAAATTCACGACCGAAACGATAACACACTCAAAGACAAACTTCTAAATAAAAGATCTTTCACAAAATTTTACGAGCACTCAATCAAACCAAGGCATGTCGGCCTAACAGCTGTCTCTATACAAGAAAAACTGCAAGTGAACATAAGGAGCGCTGAAATTATTAAAACTGCATTCGACGTACCACTAACCACCCTAACTCACCTCCCAAGGAAAACCACCATGGCTCAAGAATATCAACAGCAATTCCATGAAACTCTTAGCACTAAACATTTCACTCATTGCTACACTGATGGTAGCAAAATTGGAAACAACACTGGCTGTGCTTACATTATAAACAAAAGAGGGATAAGCAAACTACTACCCAACGTGTCCTCGGTGTTTACAGCCGAAGTAACTGCCATAAAGGAATGCTTACAGTCGATCCTTAAACACCCTTCCAACAAATTTCTAATATGCTCAGACTCACTAAGTGCTCTAAAGTCTCTACTGCAAACAGAAAACCCCAACCATTTGGTACAAAAAGATCTCTCCTTCCAAAAATCAAACAACGAAAAAAAAACATGTCGAATTCCTTTGGATCCCTAGTCATTGTGGCATAGCTGGAAACGATACAGCAGACCACCTTGCAAAAAATGGTCCCACCTCTAATGCCATCGCAATAACTAAAGCCACTACATACGATCTAATGTCACACTCGAAATCTCAAATTGTTAGTGAATGGAATAGGAAATGGAACGACAACAACAATACAAATAAACTAAAAGAAATAAAAACTAGTAAGTACCACAGAATGGATTTCACATTACCGGCCGAACCGGAAAGAAGAAATATCACTCGCCAGACTAAGAATAGGCCATACAAAGTAAACCCATGGACACCTTATGGAGAGGACTGAACAGTGCGACAAAACTCTAAGTGTAAAACATAAAAACGGAGTGCGCAAAGTTTACTCATCACCGAAGTGTTTTGAACTTACCAAACTCACTGTCAGATCTATTAAGTGACTCAGGTGACATTAACAAACTGTTTTATTTTTTTAAAAAGTACTGATTTACTGTCAGAGATCTAAAAATTATAATGTCAATTAGTATAGGTGCCGTATAACCTCGGCAGTTTAAATAAAAAAAAAGTAGCGCGGTGGAGGTGTTGAGGAGACGATACAAGTTCATGCCTTGAGCATTAAGTTAATGCTCTTAGTCTTTTTCCCAACGATCTCGGTGCAAGAATACCGATTTTGATATGTTTTGATCTAAATACATGTGGCATCAGAAAAAGAATTTAACATCTTTGAATCACACACACGCAGTTATAAATTTGCATGTGATGTACTCTTTCGGCATCAAGATAATGCGTTCAATGCGTTTGAAAGGTTTTACAAACCCCAAATAATTTTGGGTACATTTTGTTCTAAAACTTTTGACCTACACCATAGAGATGAGTTACATTGGTTGTTACACATCTTTTTTTTATTGATCTGCAAACTTACAATCTACTTATTGAACAAATAATAAAATTAGTAAATGTTATACGGTTTTTACAGGTCATGTATAGGGTGCAGTGGCCATTGCCACTTTCCCCATATGTATTATTCTACTACGAATTGTTATTATAGTAAATCATGTGGCCATAGTCGCTTCAGTCTTCTATTGACACATGGTTGGTTGATCAGCTGTCCTATTAGAGTAATAAGGAATAATCTTGCGAAAGCCCGAACTCGATACCTACATGATCTAGGGAATCAAATAATTTTATTTCTACCATATTGAGCCTACAATTTTTTCTATGCCCGATTCATTCGAAGCCCTACAACTTTTGTTCCGGTTGAGCCCAAAGTACCCGTACACCAAACAGGATCGGCCAGTTTTAAAAAGAGTTAGCGCACACGGACGGACAGACGTGCGGAAAAAATTAAAGGCTATACAAAGTATCTGGAAATCTTAACTGATAGTTATAGCGAAAACAGAAGCACGGTCTGATAAAAGAACGGACAGCCATACAAGACTGAGGATCTTTAATAATCCAGAAATGGATTCAATAAATCAAATATTATTAAACTTTGCGATCTACATTTTAAAATTATGAAGTTGAAACGTGAAAAAATGCACAGTTAAAATTTAAAATCTGGGCACGAAATTATTAGACACTTTAAATTTTACTAGATTATGCACTTTTATAGTATTTTACATTATGTTAAAACACCCTCTAAACTTTCTTCTACAAAATCTCAACCATCAAGACAAAACGTCCTGTTTAACATCCTCGGAATTAAAACAAAAGCCCAAAAACGTACACATTCTTTGAGGTACCTACCAAATTACTTTTGCCGATTGAACATAAATTTAAGTCCCTCTAAACAGAATCTGGTTACCCAAAGATAAATGCAGAACGACTCTGAGGTATTTCCAAGTAACAAAAAATTATCAAGGTATCTTACCGACAGAAAATCCTTGCTTCTGAGGTGACCGTAGACAGGAGAGAAGTCAGTCAACTTCCTGTCCAACCTAATTTTGTTGCGATTTTCTTCCTCCGGACATCTTGATTGAGAATCGTTGGGTACCAGTTTTCGTTTTAGATAACCCCCATTCCTGGGAGGTCCTTTGCAAAGTTCTTGGAAGGATTTTCATCCACGTCGCACCCGAATAAAGATTCATCAACGGTATAGTATTATCAGGTATAACACGCAGCGATTCGTTAATTTTTGGTGTAATTGCAATTGACTACTTATGGTAAATCATTTAGTGCTTCTATTAAATTTTCGTCCATTATTGACAATTGTAAAATCTTAGAGCTTAAGCTGCAGTGCAACTCCCAAACGTGACCGGAGACTCGACAAATTATTGTCCCTTTGGACAAACTTCTCCACGCCATTGCAAGTTAGCGCACCGCTAGGAACTGTTTGGAAAGCATTAAGCAATGGAGGTGCAGGTGGTGTTGGAAAATAGCTATGGGGAATGCTTGAGATCTAATTCAATAGCTTACACGTCACGGTTTGAATTTATTAAGTACATACATTGTTCCTTTTTTTCTAGTTGTTAATTAACTTAGCACTAGTGTCGCGGTGGATATGCGGTCACTATACACTACAACAACGGTACGTAAGCGCTAAATTGTACGCACATTACCACTGATCCGGCGTCTTTGATTGTGATTTTGAATTGGTAAGTTCCCTAAAAGAAGAATTATTTTTAAATATTACAGGCCGTGCTAATTATACCGGTGTAGCAAATGGCGATAGCGGGAAGCTTTGTGCAACATCCTGGGAAGTACCTGCTGGTATGGGACATGGGATCACACCACATAATGGCGTGGGAGGGAGGGAGAAAGACTGGAACCCCATTTTAGCATCAATCGCTATCGTTGTATCGTTATTGACACCAATCGCATTAACTGGAAGAATGATGTTAGAGATGATTTTGAATGTAAGCAATATACCTACCAGCGGTTATAGTAAAAGAAATGGTTACATTTCGCCCTTTTCTCAATGTGCAGGGGCTTGCTGCGCAGTTATTCAAATTGAAGTCGGTGAGAGTGATCCCTGTTCCACCCCCGCTGCCTAAAGAAAAACGGTGGAACAAAGTAACAATTTATTACGGATTAAAACATTTTCAAATCATTGAAAAGAAAGAAAATTTTCACTTACAATCGGTATAAGTAGTTGCTGTAAAAACAGCAGGACATAAAGCACTGACAAGTGCAAGCAACCAAAAAGATTTTACTAGAGACATTGTAAGTAAGGAATAGGTAAAACAGTTCGTCTTTATATAGAGCGAAACTGGTGGAGCGGTTACAGTTTTAAATGTACAAACATTACGATTTACAACTACTTACGTCTTTTTTATTGCAATATTTACTTTTTATTCAAATATTAACATTTTCACAACTGCGATAATTCTTATTTTTCTTTTCTTCTTTTTCTTTTCTTTCTTATTTCTATACGTTTTATGCAACGGTCTTAGATCTCTTCAACGCCCTTTCAAAGTATGGGTAATATGCATATGTGTCATAGCCTGTGGTTAATGCATTAAGTAATGTACTTCTACAAATATGTTTTTGTATAATCTATAAAGACAAACAGATGTTGCGAAGCATTCCTTGTAATAACAATTAAGTAAATAAACAGCTACTTTTTCTGTTGTTGACTTGCGCAGGAGTTTAAAGCAGAATTGTGCAACTGTGGATGATTTCTATTGACAATATTAATAGCTTATTATACCCTTAGCCTAGTTACCATTTCCTAGCTTCAGACGAGTAGAAATATCCCATCTCAAAAATAAAGAATTCGAATGTATTATACCAATTTCTACTTACCATCACCTGGTTCTTATGACGCTGGATACCGGACTCTCAGTAGTGGCAGGACCGCAAACTAAGAGGACGACGAATGGAAAAACTGAGAATCTACAGCTCACCATCACCAGCAGCGACGTCGGAAGTATGGGTCAGAGGGGGCGACTCGCCCCATCAGTTTTTACACAGGTGGGGCCTTGCCCCCTCAGTTTTTACACAAGGGCGGCCGCTCCCCCTCTAAGAATGAGTAGATAAATCACTCAAAAGCGACTAACACATCTTGTACTGCATGTGCATGCGGAAATTACAAAAAGTCTAGAAGTAGAGGATACCTATATTGAAAGAATTCGCCAGCAAAACTGCGGAAAGGCGGAAAATTTTTGGATATACCTATTTAATTTTTTATACTTGCTTTTCTTTACAATGCTCAATAGTGCAATAAATAGGAACAAAATTTTTGCAACTTTTGTATGTTCTAGTTCATTATTTTTTAAATAATATATTAATGATCTATGGCTATGGTTTTCTCATCGAGTCAAGTATCTCTGAGTTGCTGAATTGCATATAACTAGACATCCTCCGACACTTTTTTAAATTTTTTTCAAAACTTTTCTTTCAAAAATACATTATTTGATTGATTAAATTAACAGGTTTCAGGGTCACTTAAAAAACCCACTGCTTTGCATTAAATCGTACACAATTTCGCATGGGAGGGACCTTTCAGACTCCATGGTCGCTGATTTTCGCCCCCCCCCCAACCGTTATTCACTTCCGACGTCGCTGATCACCAGCGATAATCCTATAATACGAAATGTTGCTGAACTCGACGAGTGTACTCGTATAACGCGCTCCAAAATGCAATGATCGCATCCACCAAAAAAGACTCTACAATGAAAAAGAGGCAACTGCTGAGTTCTTCGAGCAGATAAAGCCAATCGACGCCTCGTACGAAAATGGCAACTGACCAGAGATCCAGAGCTACGAGGTCAGGTCAACAGCAAATTCGCAAAATCGCCAAATCCCAAAGCCCGGACAAAACGAGCCCGACTATACCCTCTGCTAAACAGCAACGCGCTAGCGGAGAAAAGCACAGCAATCTACAAAACCTACGGTCTCGACGTATGCCTCTGCAGGTTGGAAGGCGTACATCTCCAAAACAAACGCGAGCTCGTTATAGACTATATGTTCGTAAGGAACCAAGATATTCGAAATGGAACATCTCGCTCCCCACAGAAGGGACGCAACAGACTAAGAAGGAGGGTGCTGCAACAAGATGAAGAACAACGAAAAACATCAAGCAGTAGAAGCCCATGGCTAAAGCTGCTAAACGGCTGCAATTCCACTTTTAAGGACTTTTTTTGTGACAGTACTCTGTTCTCACGGGTCCCTTGCCGTATTTCTTGGAAATATCTCTTATTATATTCATAACAATTAAGTCCGTCTTGTTTCTCAGAAAGTAAGTACGTACCTACAGTGAGTTTTTTTTAAATGCGAACATAGGAGTTTGCATGCAATGTAATTTCCCTATGTTCGATTTAAAAAAAAACACATCAATCTATGAGATGTGCGCGGTTCACATTCCCAAATCGCGCAACATGTGTGACTATGAACAGCAACTCATAGTCGTTATGATGAAGAGCACTCGTTAAGATTTTTTTAAATAAGCCATGCCAGGCCATAGCAACTTTAGGATACATTTTTATTAAACTTACGATAACTTGACTTCACATGGCACGCGCTGACATCACAATTCATTGTGAACCAACCTTCAATTATTTGTAGGCCATGTGCACCTGGTATTCTACTAATTTGATCTATTCAATACATAAATGGAGAAAATAAGAAAATAAATAACGACAAATAACAATTACAATAAATGTTCGAAGTGTCCTCCTTGACATTCTAAGCAAACCTAACCGATTTCGTAACTAAATTAGACGGCGGTATTTTTAAAAATATGACAGCTGTCAATTGTATCTACTACTCATTTGAACTACTCAATAGATTGATGTGTTTTTTTTAAAATCGAACATAGGGAAATTACATTGCATGCAAACTCCTATGTTCGCATTTAAAAAAAATTCACTGTATATCGAATCTTATGTGTAAACAAATATTTGAGACAAACAAACGTCCTTGGCCGTATGTGTTTAATAGCGTAATTTGTCTCACTTCTGCCCGCCCTTGAGGTTATAATCCCCCCAAAAATCCATTTTTCAGTCGATCTAAGACAAATCGATTTTTTAGGAACTTTATAGGCAAGACTATATTTTTTGCTAGTTTGTCCATTGTATCTCTTAATAACGAGAATCGATAGCAGCCATATTGTTGAAACTATATCTGCCGCGTTGGCTGGCATTTATTCGATCTGTTTTGCCAAATCACCTTGGAAGGATACAGCGTTCAACAACACGTGCAAATTGTTTGATCAAAATGAACGTTCTGTTCGGGCAACGTTCAAATCAACTTCAACGATGAGGCCCATTTCAGAATGAAAGGGTCCGCCATCATACAAACTTGTCGAATTTGTGACGATACCAATCCACATGCAATCCAAGAGCGTCCAATGCCGAAAAAGTCACCGCTTGGTGTGGATTTTGAGACACCTCACGAGTAGGTGATGATTGCCACCGAGAACGTGCATTTTAATCCTGTAAGACTTTTTCTTGCGGGGTTTTCTTTAGTCGGAGGGCTATGCGAATAAGCCATAAATCACAGTGGCCAGAGTCTTGAAAAATTCTTCACTATATATGTTTTAATATAATCTTAATAGTATATTTTTTTCACCTCTACCTGCTCACCAGGCTATAATCTTTCAGAAACGTTTATTTTCAATCGCCTTATGACCATTGCAAATAATTTAATAAAAACTTAAAACTGTAACGAGAACATTAAGGGTTGGATTTCAGTTTTTGAATTTTTCTCGCAGAAATATGTAGTGGAAACTGTAAAAAACTGTCAAGGTGAAGTGTCTTCAATGGGCTTACTTGTGGAGTCAAAATTCCGAGAGTAAAGCTTGAATTACATCCTATTTAGTAGACTGATAGGATTACATTTCTTAGTAAGCGTGAGATAACTCGCTCAGGAAAAATTGCCGGTATTAGCACATTTGAGGAACGTGGTGAAGATTCGTTTTTGATTCGATGGGACTGGTTATAATAGCCAATTAAATTTTAAACATATTCATTTGAGTAGCAATTCGCTATTTTGTCTTTTGAGTAAGTTACTAAGAAATATAAAGAGGGGATTCAACTTTCAAAAGTATACTAAACGGTAGCAACCTTCAGTAAACATAGTTACGTACCCAGATCATAGCCTTTGAAGTTAAATTTCTGCTTACCAGTAACAAACACCGAAATCGAGCTCAGACCAGGAATTTTAAATTGAAGTATGGGGAAGATTTTGAGTTTTTATTAAATGTTCTTTCACATCACATTTTACCCCATCTTCAGCTTATTCCACAACATGGATACTATGAATTTTAAAAGCAAGAGTGTAGCCTTTGCTATATTTTGGTAGTTTGTTTACAGTTTCTCTTATTGCAATTATAATAACGTCATTATTCTCACCAGACCTTCAGACTATAATCCTTCAGAAATATTCATTTTGCAGCCAATCTATGACAAGTCAACCTATGAGTTCTAGAGGCAAAACTGTAGCCTTTTGCTACATTTTTTGAAGATTCTAATCTAATCATAGTAGAGTATAGTATTTGGTCTCACTTCTACCAGCTCTCCAGGCTATAATCTTTCAGAAACTAAGAACTTCTTGGAATAGTCCATAATGAAAGTGCTAAATACCATAGCTCTTCGCAGGACATTCCTAAACTGATCTTGTGTATTTTGCTTTTTATTTAAATTCCCAACTTATATTCCGTTTAAGTGACACCATCTATGTATTTTCTCTGTAAATCCGTTTAGTTTAGATGGAGTTAGTTGAGTGTTTTAGGTTTCATTTACCATAGGTCTTTATTTTGTCTTTTGAAAGTAGACATGGGGTAAAAAAATACACGTAAATCCCGATTACTATTACTTAATAAATATTACTGTATATGAGTTAGTAATTCCCGGAAAGTTTGGTAAATTATTTTTCTAAGCGGAACATCAAACGTTAGTTAATACACACATTCATGGAGAGATTTCTACGGGAATTGGTGTTGGTGATAAAAATAACGCTAAAAGGATTCTTAACGCGAATTGTTAGGATATTCCGCTCCATGGCTGTTAATGAAATTACTAAAAATGCTTTTTCAAGTGGCCGAAGGGATTATTCTCCAAGAAAGGGGCTAATACAACATGTCACGGATGTAACCAGCCTGGATCTAAAAAAATCAATTTTGAATTAGCTACCTGCTGCAACCGGGTCAAAAGGTTGTTTTACGACATATTCATACTTGATCCTTGTATACTTTACAAGATGAAATGGATCCTTGAACCGCTCTTATATTACAAATTGGCGGAAACATAAACTTTCCTCCCAACGTCAGTTCGTATCACGGTCAAATTGTCAATTTTAAAATTCGATGCTTTCATAGAGTTTGATGCTTTTTCCTGCAAATTAAAAGAAAAAATGGCCGTACGTTTTTATCAATGTAGGTGAACTGAGAACATCCTCAAAACCCGACTCACAACATCGGCGAAGGAAGCTTTGCCTTGCAGGATATCTTTGAGGAAAATTTAAGTAAATTTTGCTAGCGTAGAACTGTCGCAATTAAACTCTTGCTCTGAAGAATTCCACTTAGTTTTTCACACAGGGAAAGTATCGCCTCTGGCACCGTTAATGAGCTTAGGGGCGACTATATATCATTGTTTTTGTTTAAGGGAGAACAGTAATTCCATTTTAAAATTCTAAATCTTTTAGGGCATTAGGGGCTAAATGTTAGTTATGTATTGTCCTGAAACTTCCATCAAAAGTAATCAAAGTAGGTACACTGGGTGTATGAGAGCCAGTAGGTATATATTCTTTCAAACTTTGAAGGTGCCTGGCAAAGTGTAAGGCCCCACTAAATGGCCTGGCATAGGTACTTATTTTTCTGCTTCAAGAACTTTTTTGAAAAAAAAATTCGTATCTTTAAAATATAACAGGTTGATTTAGCCCCGCTTCTCCCCAGCCAGGTCTGCATTTCTGTGTTTGGGTATTATGGGAGAAGTATTGGACAAGTTTTCAGCGTGCCTCAAATACCTACTCAAAAATGTCTACCAGCTCTCGGACTATTAAACGTAAGTTCATTAAACGAGCAAGAAAAATTAAACCTACATAAAATATGTGCGAAGTTTGCAGACGTAATTTATATGGAAAATGACCCATTAACCGTAACAAAAGTGTGCAAGCAAAACATTCAATTAAAGCAAAATTGCAACTCGAGCGTATATTAAACCATACAGAATACCTTATGCCCAAAAAGACTAACCAGCAAATTGATAATATGCTCCAAAATAACATAATAGAACCCACAAAATGATTGGTCCGCTCCAATTTTAATTGTTCCCAAGAAAGTAGATGGGACAGAAAATTAAAAATTGCCAGTTGTAATCGATTATAGGCAATTAAATACGCGTATAGAAGATGATAAATTTCGTTTACCTTGTACAGACGAAATTTTAGACGCATTATCAGGTGCAATTTATTTTTCACACTTAGATTTATATCAAGGCTATTACCAATTAGAATTAGAAAAATCCTCTAGAAAATTCACAGCTTTTACAATGCCTAAAGGATAATTTCAAATGATTAGGACACCAATGGGTTTGAAAACTAGTCCAAGTTCTTTTTCACTTGCGCTGGCCGGATTAAATTACGATATTTGTTTTATTTATCTCGATGATTTAATTGTTTTTGGAGATTGTTCTTGAAGATCATAAGCGAAATTTAATTAAAGTATTACATAGACTCCGAAGTAAATGCGAATTTATAAAAAAAGGATATTTTATATTTGGGACATGAAATTTCTGCAGAAGGCATTTCACCAGACCCACAAAAAATTAAAGCTATGAGTAGCTACCCTGATCCAACAAATGGAGCAGAAGTAACGATGTATGTAGCATTTGCAAATTATTACAGAAAATTGCTTAATAAATCCACCAATTTTAGAGTATCCAAATTTTCCATTACAAATTACAAAACAAATTTATTCTTAAAACTGACGCATCAAAAGTAGCGTTAGGTGCAGTTTATTGTAATTCTAACGATAAACCAATTGCATATGCAAGTCGAACATTAAATAACGCAGAGAGAAATTACGGTACAATTGAGAAAGAGTTGTTGGCGATAGTTTTTGCAGTCAAAAAATGTAGACCTTATTTATTCGGTACAAAATTTTCAATTTTTACTGACCATAAGCCACTTTTGTATTTATTTATAATCCATCTAATAAGTTTACAAAATTTAGATTAATACTGGAAGGATTTCACAGTTCATTACGTGAGAGGAAAACATACCGTTTTAGCAGACGCAGTATCGCGTATTGTAACTGACTCAGATGAATAAAAAAATATGTCTCAAATAAATAATAAAGCGTTTGTTGTTACTAGAGCGCAAACAAAAAATAGAAAGGACGACTACCCTGCAAAAACTTTAGCTAACGACGAGGAAGGGATTGATCATTCCGGAATCGTCGAATTAGTTAAAACACGGGAAAAGGCAGTAGAGTTAATTGTTATTACAGGAAATGAAACGTTAAACCTAGGAAAACAATATAATAGAAAATGTCATGACAGTAGATTTTATAAGGTGAATAATCTCGTATACGATAAGCAGGCCAATGATATATACTACGTAAATCAAAAGACTAGATCAGCGATATTATCCCTTAGGGAAATCATCAATTTTCCAAATAATTAAGGAAACAGGTCTAAAAATTTTCGTAATTCAAGACGTAGAAAAAATCGATAATAAGGAAGAAAGGCAATTAATTTTGAATGACTCTCACATGTTACCCACAGGAGGATATGCAGGAATATACCGAATGGTAAATAATATAAAACGGCATTACTTTTGGATAGGATTACAAAGAGATGTTGAAAATTTTGTTAAGAAATGCGAACTTTGTCAAAAATGTAAGTGTTACATAATTAAAAAGCAGCTTTTGTCCATAACATCTACAGCTCATGCATCAGCTTTCCCAACAATTTATCTCGATCTAGTAGGTACTTCAAAACCCCACGAGAGTGAAAATAAATACCTACATATTAACGTTGCAAAGCTATTACAGTACGGTATCCCTGAAATGATAGCAACTAATTTAGGAAGTGAATTCATATTCACCACATTTAAATATATTTGTAAATTACTCAAAATAGAAAAATTAAATTCAACACCACATTATCCAGCTTCAATAGGAAACATGGAATTCGTGGATCAATTATTGGAGTTTTTCATATAATTAATTCCGAAACAAAATACACACCTTATGAATTAGTTTTTGGTAAAAAATGTAACTTGCCATCAAATTTATGTAAAGTCACAGAATCAGTTTTCAGTTTTGATGATTATCCAATTTTGTTAAAATATAGGTTACAAAGAACATGGAATGAAGCTAGGAATTATTTGTTGGATTCAAAAGAAAGGTGACAAAGTGCTTGTGAAAAACGATTCGTGAGTGTATAAATACGAAAATTTGTTCAACGGACCTTATACAGTGATGGACAATAAATGTCCTAACGTGTTAATTGAGAACACGTTTATTAAATACTACAGTGATCTTTTAGGTTCGTGCTTTAGGTCGGTAGATCTGACACTGTCCTTCGTGATAGCCGAAAGATTAAATTGTCTCCTAATAAGGATTGTTTGAATAGTTCGGAAGATTCCATTTGAACGACGTATGCCAGGTAAGTCCTAGCCGACCTTATTTGGAAACCAGAAGAGCAGTAAACATAGAGTCTCTGTTTTACAACACTGGGTAGGGTCAGTACCTAAAATTAGACAACGTCAAAGCGTCCTGGACTTCCCATACCTACGGAAGGTACCGTTGTAAATATTTAATTGAATTACAGTTAACTAATCGATCCAATGCAGAAGGCAACCGCACTACCAGGGTGAAGAAAACACGTGTATGGCTTAAACACAAGTTAATTCATATCTATTATAATTTATGGGCTCATGGCCAGCCGGCTGTTCTTACCCGAAGGTAAAACGCAAAACCCAGTACGTCTGTCAATAATTTTAATGGCACAGTTACTCGTCCCTAAAGCATATCGGATTTCTTAAGTCGCCATAGCTTCAAAGGATTACAAAGCTCCTGAAGTGTTTGAATAAGTGAATTATGCGGATGAACGAAACAACGGCGATCTTTGAAAAACATTTTAAAAGAAGAAATTACATTCTAATAAACATACATTATGATAAGTAACAATATTTCTACAACTCTGAGTTAGAGGAACATTGTATCATCTTAATAACTATGGTGAATTCAAGACAAATAACGGTTTTCGCATTATCCACAATTGTTACCCGCACAGTATACATTCCCTAAAATAAAGTGATTTTAACATCTGAACGATGTAGGTAATACCCAAGGTTGGTATATTACAGGTTGCCTCGTAACTATCGACCAATAGCAATCGAGGCGCAAATACGTCACTGGTATCCCACGATTTAAACGAAATAATAAATGCATGCAGCCATACAGCTGGAAAATTTGATGCGTACCTATTGTTTACAGTTCTTTCATTATGTTTGAATCGTTTAACTAGTGAAACACAAATATTCAGTTTTATATTTTAAAATTTAGTAATTAAAAATCGTTATATAATACAGTCAATCTTCGTCTGATGTACCAGTGTTTACCGTGAAAGATAAACAGCTTCATCTAAGAATCAATCGCGTAGTCACATTTTTCTTCTAATTCTCTTAACGTAGTTTATATCGTCTCTATCTCTACACTTGTCTTCAATTTGTAGATGAGATAGGCGGTATCAACGACACCATAATTATGATCTTCCTGCTTCGGTCAGTTTTAAACACGTTCATCTTCTGCCGGCCCGCAAGCATTAAATAAGATGTAGGTTCATTTGACCGGTGTCTTATTTTTCCCTAAAGCATCATCATCTTTCATTCTCCGTAAATATCGTGACCGCCAATCGAAAATGTCGCTACATTCCATCAATAATTGAAATTAACATTACCTAATTTAGTTATGAGTTTTATTGATTTACCGTCACAGCAGCAGCTAGCTCTGTAGCCCTTTCCAAAGGAAATGCCCACCTACTGGCAGCTTTCTGTTTGTCAAAGAACTCCACGACCCTGTCAATAATATTTCTAGGTTCTGAATGCACATGTATTACAGGAGGTTCAATATTTATAATCTTACGCGTATGTCACATAAGCGGTAATGACAAGATAACGAAATTAGAGTGGCTACCAGTGACGTCACTAGCAGGCGACTTGATCCCCATTATTACAGTTACGAGGCAACCTGTAATATACCAACCTTGGGTAATACCCACCGGTGGAGTACTGCTTTGCACAAATCCCGGAGCAAAGATGACAACATTGGTGCCTGCCAATATGGGACAGGGTGTCAGGTCGCACAGATTGGTTTGGTAAACAGGGAACGGTCTGCCGACTATAATTAGAGCTTCCGATACGATAGCTTGTGTGTTTAATCCAATATCTTCAACTGCAATAAAATAGGTATCACTCTAATGGATTTTTTCGAATTCCGAGATTTTGCTTACCAGCGGTAAAGTTTAGACCTAAATTGAGGGTAGAACCGCTAATGACTTCGCAAAGAGACCAAACGCAGCCATTCATTTGGAAGTGTGTAATGGGGACACGGTTAAAATCATTTCCGCTTTCACCTGAAACAGAGCAAAACTATTATCACATAGGGATTTTGTACGATGTAGTACGTACACCGGGAGTAAGGTGTATCAGCGAAAACACCAAATACCAAAGTGGCAAAAATGAAGAACGCTTGAAAAGCCATCGTGAACTAGAACTGTCAAGCAATGAGAGCCATTTTATATCCAACACAATCTAAAAGAATTTTTTGAGCAAACTGTTTGTTTTTGCATAAAACGTATTCGTTGCCGTCGGTAAAATTCAGATGTTTATGGTTTATGGCATTAAATTACTAAAATTGGATGTACGAATAACACGTGGATTAACATAAAACTACACAAATAACGAGGCAAAATTGAACGTACTTAGATAAGCATTAAAATAAGGACAAGACTTGTAAGTAAATATTTTTTTGAGAATTTATTAGTTTACTGCATACGCAAATTAAATTAAAAATTTTGGCTCCATTGTACAACGGCAGTTTAAACTTCAATTTAGTATACTGACAGATTTCAGAATCACGATTGGTCAACTTGAGAAATATTAGCCAATCAAATCCTTTAACCCACTATAAACTGAAGATTAAACTGACATTGTACTACTGGGCCTTAATGTGTTAAGGGGCAATATAGATACCTATTGCGGAAAATTAGTTCATGGAATACTTAAATGTCACATCGCAACATCTAAAATTGATATGGATGTCCCACAAAGTAGTGAGTGCTCCGGGGCCTATTTGCTGTTATTTTTACTGTAAGCAACACATTACAACCTTTCGTACACTCTTACGGACTAAATTCTGGTCTTCTTAGACGATTTGCTACAATATCTAAACCCTCTTGTCGATAAATTATATACACAATACTATTTTATCCATTGAGAGAGAAAGAAAAGGGTTTTCATGTTCTTAACAACTTTTAATTGCGGATTTTGGCTGCAACTTAACAACATACTCGTACTACATCAGTTTTGTTGGTATATGTCACGCAAGGCATATTTCGTACACACGTCAATATTAAAACTAATTGATGGTGTATCGCCACACAACGCGGAAGCTGGGTTCTGTTTCCTACACCACTGAACGGTTTGCCATCAGGAACAGTTGCAGATATTGATCCCAATCCCGATGGTGGTACCGCCATGTGTATTTCGTTTATTTAGAGTGTACCTTCTTTAGGTTTCCGCTGTAATTTCCATCGACAATTGCTGTTTCAACTACGATGAGCTCTCTTATATCAGGGGTAGGTAAATTTTATGTCATCAAAGAAGGAGGTTTTCTTTTAGGGTTCGAGTTCCAGACACGTCATACGTTACATACCAATTCTCGTTCGACGCCCTTAGCTTATCTTCCTATCTGCTGTGAAAACCGAAGAAATAGGTCCCTGCTGTGATCAATGCTTGAAGCCTTTTCCGTTTGTTTCTCACGACACCACCTCAGAAACTCATCAAACTCTTTGTCATAAATTCTTCTGGATTTTATTGGAACCACTTCAGTGATTTCGATTGATATTCTTCTACAGACATACTTCTGTTGCAAATAAATCAGACGTAAATTCAAACAAGCAAAAAGGGTAGGTAACTATAGTGCACTTTCCATCCAAGCATCTATGGTTAAAATTTCAAAATGCGCAAAAAATATCTGTGAGAGGACATGGTAGCGTCAATATTGCTAATCCTGACATGAATGTGGGATTATCCTAATCTAGAGCGTGAATGCCAAGGCAGTACCAGACACTCTTGCACCATCATATATTCACTCCTCTTCCAAAGAAGCGGGTACAATTGCAAAACAAGCTGCTAAAAGAAAACTAAACAAATATAAGGACCTTGTCACAGATAATTACTTATTCGTTCCCTTTGCTGTCGAAACCCTTGGACCATGGTGTAATGAAGCAATATCATTTATTGAAGCTATAGGAGAGTTAATTAAACATAAAACCTACGACAATCGTTCAACGTTATTCTTAAAACAGAAAATTAGTATTGCAATTCAAAGAGGGAATGCAAGTTGCATTATGGGAACTTTCAACAATTCTTTCAGGCTAGAAGAAATTTTTTATTTACTTTAAATATTGTTATTGAAATTATTTGTGAAATGCGTTTTAAATTAAATTTTCATTAAAGGCTGTAGTAATCCCGAGAAAAATGTCGGGATTATAATTATTGCTTACTCCGTACAGTTGGTGGATTAATACACGGTTTATGTCTAGCTAATTGCTTACTAAGGTCATTAGCCATAGTTACTACTTTAAGTAAGAAGAGAGCAACTGGCTGTTAAATATAATATTATATTATTTACTTACAAAAATCGATAGGGTGGTTTAAAAAAATGTTTTCTTGAATGATTTGATCGATCGCTATTTGATTATTGGAAAAAATGTTTTAGAGAGCTGAAAAATAGTTTTGAAAATTCTTATTTTTTTTAATAGTCCTTAAAATAAGGGGGCTATTACGATTTTTCCAAAAACAAAGGAACGCCAATAACTTTGAACCTGGCCGACAAATCAAAAATTAGAACTAGAAAAGTTGTTTGTTGTAATGAGTTCTAACTGCCGTTTTCGGGTACCCTGTATACACCTTATAAAATTCCGAAAGGAATGTGATGAAATAAATAGATTTTTCTATTTTTTATTTTAGTTTGCCTTTATTTTGAGTGGGCGGGGTTTCAGCCAAGGCTGCTCTACCAACCCAATCCACTATACATTTACAAATATCCATGCTCGAACCCGGATTCGAACCAGGGATCCTTAGCCCCACAGGTCAGCTTTAACTGAACTGCGCCACACGTTTTGTTTATGTTTGATAATATTTAGATTGGCGCAAACATTTTCATTACTGATCGGGACATCCCCTATTAATACAGGGCACATTTAATACTATAATAGCGTTGATTTTGAAAATAATTCGAATTATTATTTACGTAAAAATTGGTCTAAATCACTTGATAAGCAAAATAGGTTTGGTCATTGTTTATTCAACAATTGTTTGGTTTAACCACTTCCTCGAGCCAAAAATGAAATTCCTTGAGTTGTAAAGTAATTGCTTGTTTCCCGATTTTGTAACGTAAGGGTCGATTCTATTCAATTCAGATTTGGGTTAACGGAAGTTGTTTGCTCAATTGTACTCTTCAGTCTGTCTTATCGGGGGGTAGATCATTATGCATAGGTTTTGTGTAATTTAAATGAAAGTCATGTATTCAAAATTTAGGGGACCTGCACAATTGTAAGGGAACTCGGTTGATGTGCTAAATTGACTCGCTTATTTATATGATAGTATTGAAAGTTATAAACCCCTTCCGTCATTTTTGGAAAATGGGAACACGTCCTGAGGTGGTCTAAGAGTAATTCATTTCCATTTAATTACTCTGCAAAATGCAAATTGTAACTAATGAAGCGAAAAATAGCAAATTACTTTGATATCGGCAACCTCAAGCGGTTTGTGAAAAGTATTAAATTTTTCAGTTCGCCCCACCTGCAAGGTGCGAAATATATACAAATCAATAGCAACAAGCACAACGTCCATTCAATATTGGTCTATAAGACGCTCATCTGAAATTAAAAATTATTCCATAAAAAGAGAACGTTAAACAACAAAGGTGCGAATGGAACTTCATAAATAAGGTGAGTATGCGCTGAATTACCTTACGGGAATGTAAGGAATTTCTTCATCGAACAAACAAAACGTGGAAAGAACTTGGAAATGCGCGATAATCGAATTTATTCCCCTTTTGCTTTAATGACGGAAATATTCTTCCCGGAGAAATGTGCAGTTTCCTGAGCTCGTAAACCTATTGATTAATATGAATCGGCACCATTAAAATTGATAATTATTGAGTGTTATTGTCGTAGGTAGTACAGGAAAAACCCTTTACCCTCTACAAAGCAGCTGTACAGAACTGGAAAATTGAATAGTTGGATCAAAGGCGTCGATCACCGTGTCCCTTTCATGCAAAATTGATCGACTGATTACACTGTGGAACGGCCATTTTGTCCTCGTTATGGAATCTATGTTTTTCTGGTACGAGTTTTTTTTTTAATTGCTTGTTTGTCACATAACTGCTAGTTCAATAAGACTATGACGCAATTGTGTGCGGCTCCGCAACAAATGAACAGTGTATTTTGTTTCGAAACAAATTTTGGTCGAAGTAGTTTCGATGGGATCGGAACCCAATACAGAGCGACCCAAGATCAAGAAGCAAGGAAGCGTAAATCAAGAATTAACGAAACCGTATGGGACTTTGAAGATTTTCTGCTGTGTGATCGGCGAATGAAAATTCCAATCCTTGCAAAAGAAACTGGAGTGCTGGAAAGCGCAATATTCAGGATTAGACACGAAGATATGGGCTTGAGAAAAGTACCCGCTCGACACATTTCCGACTGGTGAAAAAAGACACTTGTCAGTACTATATGGACGCTTTGGTGAACGATGGCAGTTAATTTTTCGCGGACTATCACAGGCGACGAAACGTGGATGTTTCACAAAACAGGAACCAATGTAGTGGGGTCATGAGGGCTCTCCATCCCAAAAAAGCAAAAACCCAGCTTTCGCACCGAAAATGGATTACGACCATTTTTTGAGACTGTGGGACGATTTTACTTATTAAATACACGGTAAACGGGCTGACCTGAAAATCGCAGCAGCGACGTTTATTTGAAACGCAAGCAACTTTTCGTCTTGCATGGTACGAAAACTGCAGAAGCGCTGGGCATAATGTAGTAGTGTGTATGATAGACTTTTAGATACGGTTTCTAGTATTAGAAATTTAAAAAAGGCACCGTTGTACTTGAATCTAAAAAAGGTAGAGGAATTGTCGTAATACTCATCAAATATTTCATTTGTGGCTAGAAACTCTCATCTTGGATTTTTTATTCAAAAATGCCTACTGCAGCTATAGTCATGAATCTTCCACATTCAGACCTAAAATTTGAAGCACTCGTTTTGGCACTCGCAGGGTAAATAAAACCTAAAACTTAAAAAGTAGACCTGGTGGCAAAGACAGATTTACCTTATTGTTAAGTGGGCAGGGTTTCAACCGAGGTTAATCTCTGGATTTTAGACTTAGAAGTTTGTTACTCAGAATTCCACGGTTAATACCTCTGCATCGCAGCGCCGAATGAATTGGAAAAATGCCCCGGACTGACCTCCCTCACCCCCCTTAATTTCTTACTGATTGATGAACGCCCATAAAGTGGTTTC